GCTGGCCTCAAACTCACTGAGATCTGCCTGCCTCTGCCTCCCAAGTGCTGGGATTAAAGGCATGCACCACCATTGCCTGTCCAGCGTGGCATTGTTTATATCTCTGGCCTGTGACAGTAAAACTCATCACAGTGTTCCTGATTTACATGTGTCACCAAAGCTGCCGTCTTTAGAAACTCTGTAATTTTTCCTCCCAATTTGGGAAATACAGTAGCTGATACTTTCTGTCTTTGTGGGTATGGTTTTCCAAATGGTGTCATCTTCATATAATGCCAGTTTAATAACTCCTGATTGTTAGTTGGTTTTCAGCTAAACTTTGGGGGAGTTTTATTTTATTTGTTGGCAGTTACTGGAATTATATGACTTCTGGAATCTTTCAACAGTAATAATGGTGCTGTGAACCATTCAAGGCTCATGGTTCACACTGCTGTTATGTCTCATGTTCATTGTTTTCTGTTGCTGTAGCCTGCTAAGTAGAAAAATGTAGTTTCAAGGTTTTTCCAAAGGCCTTGTCTATGGCTCCAGAGTAGAGAGCTTGCTTCACATGCATGAAACCCAGTACTGCAGAAACAGCAACAAAATCCCTTGTTTTATAATGATTCTCTCTCTTTCTCTCTCTCTCTCTCTCTCTCTCTCTCTCTCTCTCTCTCTCTCTCTCTCTGTGTGTGTGTGTGTGTGTGTGTGTGTGTGTGTGTGTGTGTGTGTGTGTAGAGCAAAGCAGTTCATAGTACTGTGAATGCAACATGCAAGTTTATAACACTCCAGGACCGCTGTTGAGTCCTGTCTGGCATTTTGGTTTGAAATAAAACTGTAGAATGGGGACTATACACTCTTTGGGAAATCTTCACCCTATTTCATGGTTTAAAGTGGTTCTGCTGCTTCTGTGTAACTTGTTTTCTTGATTACTTTTACAGTTTTTCCTTTTTCTGTAAATCCCTTCATTATTAGTTTTCTTGACAAAAAATTTAACTGAGAAGTGCTCTTAACTTGAAGCTTTCAGAAGACTGCTTGGCAACCACAGGTGTTCAGACCAAGGTTATATATGTATCTTTTGGTGATTATGGTAATAGTGAATGACACTCATTTTGCTGATAAAATGATTTAACTGTATAAGTACCATCCAAGCAAAAGTGGAGAAGATATTGAGAAACTGACTTTGTTTAGGTTTTATAAAGGTGTTTGGCCAAAATAACGTGTCATAGAAACAGAAAGATGTGGACAGAAGTTTCCGTTCTGCCTGGCCCCACAGCCACTTTGCCCCAAATAAACACAGAGATTTATATTATTTATATATAAACTGTTTTGCCAATGGCTCAGGCTTCTTACTGACTAGCTCTCTCTTAATTATTAACCCATAACTTTTTTTTTCCTTTGGTTTTACAAGACAGGGTTTCTCTGTATTGTTTTGGAGGCTGTCGGTCCAGCCTGGCCTTGAACTCACAGAGATCCGCCTGCCTCTGCCTCCCGAGTGCTGGGATTAAAGGCGTGCGCCACCACCGCCCGGCAACCCATAACTATTAATCTGTGTATTTCTACATGGCTTTATCTTACCAGAGAATGCCCTCAAGTCCTGTCTTTCCTGTAGCTACATGGCGTTTCCCTGAAGGCTTCTCTCTGCCACTTTCCCCTCCCCCCCCCCAGCCTTCTCTTGGTCTCGTAGCCCCACCTATACTTCCTGCCTGGCTACTGGTCAATCAGTGTTTTATTCATCAACCAATAAGAGACACATATATATAGAAGGACATTCCCAGTCAGAAAGGAGCCATTCTTTACTCAAAAGAGGTATTCCACCTGTCTTTGGAAAGACTCCCAAGTTGCTGTCACCCTCCTATTGTCTAACTTCCAGCCAATCATAAGTCCCCATTTCATGTCCAAAAAGAGATGCCTCTTGCTGCTGTTTTCTTCTCCTATAGATGAATCTCATTTTTATTTCCTTGATGTTGGCTGTCTAGCTCTCTGAGGAGTCAGGAAGAAAAGAATGAGATTAATAGAAAAGCTCCTTTGCCAGTAACTACATGTGCATTTTCAAAGAGAAGCTCCCTGACTAAGCCTTTGCCTCCTGTGACAGGAGCTCAGATCTCCAGTGTGTGTGCTAGGATTCTGGGGGGGTTTAACAACAATGTTGGTAATGTTTTCTCTACTGTCTGAAAACCTCTCCACTCTACTCTAACGGGGCAGTCGTCCTGAATGAGATTCTTAGCCAGAAAATTCCATTTCATCATCTCTGTATGTCAGCCAGACTGAAAGACGGTGAAATGAAGGTGAGAAGGCAAACATTTGGCACACCTCACTAAAAGTGTGTTGACCTCCAGAAAGAAGTGGATTTGTTGAGAACGCAGCTCAGTGGCAGAGAGCTTAAAACCTGTAAGGCCAGCACTGGAAGACTCCTGCAGGAGGCCAGCACTGGGAGACTCCTGCAGGAGGCCAGCACTGGGAGACTCCTGCAGGAGGCCAGCACTGGGAGACTCCTGCAGGAGGCCAGCACTGGGAGACTCCTGCAGGAGGCCAGCACTGGGAGACTCCTGCAGGAGGCCAGCACTGGGAGACTCCTGCAGGAGGCCAGCACTGGGAGACTCCTGCAGGAGGCCAGCACTGGGAGACTCCTGCAGGAGGCCAGCACTGGGAGACTCCTGCAGGAGGCCAGCACTGGGAGACTCCTGCAGGAGGGCTGGCTTGGATTTGGGACTAGCCTATCTCAAAGAAGGAAGAAGTGGGTGAAGGGATGGGGAGTTGAGTCCTTTTTTTTTTTTTTTGAGGAAACATAAGGCACAGCATCCATATATATCATTGCTTTGTATTACTCAAGGATAACACTACAAAACAGCTGTGATAAAAAACGGCTTAAGTATATAACCTTAAGTGTTCTTTAAGTAATATTTGAATTGTTTTTAGCAAATGGTTTTTAGAACGTGAATGTAAAATATCCCCTTCCTATCTCGAACCAGTTTTGTCTCAAATTTTCTTAATGTATAACCACTTTGACCTTGAGCACTTATAGACTGGATACAATGTAATACGCTTTCATATGCGGAGGGAAAGGATAGAGTTGACAGAAATCAGTCAACCTAGTACTACAGGAAGCAATATGGCACCTAAAAAAAATCCCAGCTCTCCAGGGTATTCTATCCGGCAGGAAGATCTTGAGTTCAAAGCAAATTGTCCTACAAACAAACAGCACCATTTGTGTGCACATACTAAGTGTGTCCCAGTGATATTATGAGAACCCTGTAAGTAGTCAGAGGTATTATCTTTCCTCCAAATCCTGTCTGTTCTGTACTTGAAGTATCTAATGATCAGGCTAGGTCAATGATGTAAGCCCTTGCAAAGGTGAACTTGTTCTTCCCAATTATAAATTAAAAAAAAAAAGGACTCAGAGAGATGCTCAGTGGGTAAAGATACCTGCTTGCCAGTTCGACAACCTGAGCTTGGTCCCTGGAACCCATGTAATAGAAGGAAAGAACCAACTCCCAAAAGTTGTCTGACCTCACACATGCAGTTAATCGCTCACTGTGATGCCTGTTGTTGTGTAGTGTATGCTTTGGATATTTGTGAACTTAACTGTAAATCACAGAAGCTCCTTCTTCAGTATCAAACCTCTGGCAGCTATTTCAAGTCAAGTCTTAACTTAAAAAATATGTCCTGACTTTAAATAGAGATTATATTCTGTGTCTTCATAATTCAGAAGGTAAAGAATGATTCGGGCAGAGTAAGTTTCTCTGGCTATGTAGATTCATGTTCTCTTCAGTTTTCTCAGAAACATCCTCCAGGTCTTGATGTAGAGACTTCTGATTTAAGTGGAGTTACAGGTCTTCCTCACTTGCATGAGAACTTAAAAATGGCAGCTTACAGGGTGAGTGAAGCCTATACTAGACCATTTGAAGTTTTTCATATTGCTGTGGGTTTGCACGTGATTGGAAACTGCTTGGAATTTTTTAATGCATAATTATTGTTTTAAAGCATTCTGTTATCTGAGTGTTTAATACCATTTGAGTCATTAGCTGTGATGCTGTTGACTGCTTAAATGAAACGAGGGATGAGGTTGCACTACAGTAGGAGGAAGTGTGTTTCACTTGTGAGGTTTGAAAGTTCCAATCCATTCATTTGTTTCCTGAGATGACTAGGTGTTATTTTGAATCAGATTGGTGTGTTTCCTTAAGTACTCGGTTATCTCTTAGAATGTAGTATTTCCTTAAGTACTCGGTTATCTCTTAGAATGTAGTATTTCCTTAAGTACTCGGTTATCTCTTAGAATGTAGTATTTTAACAAAACAAACTTTAACTATGTGTGCTCATTGGCTTTTCTCTAAGCTCTTAAAGACACTGGTGCCCTCCCTTATTTACCCAGTGGCACATGCCACTCTCTCTAAATGACAGGAATGGCTTCTCACAACCCATGTACAAAATGCTTACCTTACCTTAGCTTATGGATGTGAACAGATAATAATAGTCTTTGATTTTAAAAATTAGTTTCTCTCCTACATCTCATTCTAGAAGATTTCCATCCAATGGAAAGCAACCCAAAATACATTAAAAGGCTGTGCTTCACTGAATAGTGATGCTTTAAGACTTCATTCTAACTTCTTTATAATGTAAATAGAGTTATTTACACCCCCCCACACACACACACACAAATATCCAACTGACAGCCACCTTTGCTTCCCTTTGGACAAGGCAATGCTAAGTTTAGCATTTGGCAGGGTATTAAGATATTGACATAATTAAATTTATACAAATTATGTTTTAGGTACAAAATATAGGGTCGTCTTTTAACCTGTAAGTCATGACACTATATACCCTTAAACTTAATAAAAACTGCCCAAGTGCCAGTAAGTCTCTTGAATGGATTTCCTTTTACCAGCTGGTTGCCAATGTAGTTTTTTTCTTTTTTCCTTCTTTTCTTTTCCTTTCTTTATTTTTGGTTGTTGCTTTCATTTAAAATGTGCTGATGATCTTGTTTTTATTCCGTAGCATTGAACAGATGGGTTGATTATTCTTTTCAGATATTAATAAGGCAGCGGAAAGAAGAAATATGAATACGGCTCCATCAAGACCCAGCCCCACACGAAGGTAAAGTACCCTGAAGCAGTGAGTTACCCTGGGAGAGTTGGGCTTTGGGCAGTTAAGCCCAACTTCACACATCAAGGGTCTTTTCTTCCCCCCAACAAATCAGAACCGCTCAAGCAAACAAGAACCTTGTGTGAAGGGCCTTCCTACTTTTTAAAATCATACATCATGAGATACAGAGGAAGCTTTGTGTTTTCGGTGACAAAAACAGCAAGTTGAGCTTGCAGCATGAGTTGCAGGCAATTGGAAGAGGATAAACCTCTATCTTTCCCCAGCTCACGTGTCATTGGGAGCCTGCAGAGCAGGAAGAGGGCCCCAGGGTCGTGTTGGTGTATGCCTGCCATGCTGCACTGCAGCAGGCAGCAGAGATTTGACTCTTCGTTGCAAATTGCTGCCGGTCCAGATGCTACCCCAGGTTTGCAGAGAGCTGCTTGAGAGACTGCTGCTGTGCCTGTGCTGCAGATCCCCTGTGCTCATGTGTTTGGGTTACTTGTTGAGGGGAAATAAAAAGGCCAAAACACTGCTTCTCAAAAGTCTTCCTTTCTGAGCTTTTCTGAATATAGAGGGCATTTTCCCAGTGTGGTCTTCCAGTATAGACAAAAAAAGTCATATTTTTGGTGTGTACTCTCAAGACACAAAGGAAAAACTCTGCTAGTGTTTGGTTGAGATTGTATACACACTTTGTGATCCATAGCAGCTCACAAGTGGGATGCAGTGTGTGCAGTTCCGTGCGGATGCAAATCGACGCAATGTAGTTCATATCTGATATTTCTTGAAGGCTCATGTGTACTCTGGATTTTGCCTTTGCTCCTAGGTAAAATGCCAGATTTCCACCGAAACTACAACCCACAATAAAGCATATTCTAGGACAGTGAAATGTCTCAGAGGGAACAGGTATTTGACACCAACCTAGCAGCTTGAGTTGGATCATCACTAGGACTCCCATAAATCTCCTCTAACCTCCACCTGTGTGCGCCGTGGCACCCCCTACACAGACAGAGGAAATGTAAATTCTGTTTTTTGTTTTTTTTTGAGACAGAGTTTTCTCTGTGTAGCCCTAGCTGTCCTGGAACTAACTCTGTAGACCATGTTGGCCTCAAACTCACTGAGATCCACCTGCCTCTGCCTCTGTGTGCTGGGATTAAAGATGTGCACCGCCACTGCCACCCAGCTATAAATGTAATTTTTAAACCATCTGCATTCCCTACATGAACTAAGCTTAGTTCTTCAAACAGAACCCTAATGTGCAGAGGAGTTGAATTCAACACCACAACTGCAGCTACGCCACAGCTGTCACATGGATGCCCTAGCTATTGGTTTCAGTGTACAAGAAGGCGCATCATATTTTTTTCCTTCTAACCCTTTTAATGCCTGTGGCAGGCTGCAAGTATAGCTCAGTGGGTAGAAGGCTTGCCACATGTGTACTAAGCTCTGGGTTTGATCCCCAGCACCACATAAACCCTGTGTGGTGCTGTACGCCATAATCCCAGCGCCTGAGAAGTAGAGGCAAAAGGAGTTCAAGGCCATCGTCGGCTACACAGAGAGTTCAAGACTACCCTGGGATACGCTAGAGCTTGTCTCAAAAAAAAGAAAGGAAGGAAGGAAAAAGAAAGATTGTGGCTTTCAGGTAAATGCTGTGTTGGTCGACTTACGGGTATGTGTAAGTAACCTAGAGGACACAAATCTTTAAAACTTAAAAACTGTCCATGCAATATCTTCTTCTATCAGGCTGCATCTAACTGTGGTGTAGATTTAGGGCAATCCCATCTCCATTGTTACTCACTGCCTCAATAAACGTGGAGTGGGGTAGCCAAGAGTTTGCCTTTCATGGTCAGAATTATGAAGTTTCAGGTTAAAGTTGTAATTGCCAGTGGCTTGAAAGAGGAGACATGATGTGCATAATTTCCAGAGAGCTCTAGTATGTAGTTTTCTCAAGTGGCTTAAGTAAGTATGGAATTTATAACTATGAAGATATTGACTCTTCTAGAAAAATCCCCCCCTGTGATGCTTGTGGTCTCTGGATAGAAGCAGCTATGTTTTTACAGACTGGAAACAAAATAAGGAAAGTACACCCACAGTTCATAGGACAGTCATTCTTGTTTCTGTTACGAATTAAAGGGGCATTTTGTATCATCCTAATGATGTTTAGCCAGGTACCTCACATTTCTAGTTGATCATAAATATTCAACATTGCAGTTTTGGAAAAATCAGCTCACCTGTTTGGAATCCAGTGTAGCCATTACCAGGGCACTAAATTAAAGAGATTGATTTCATCTCATCATAAAATGCTGCTCCATAATGTCATCTATAAGGGCAGTGTCTTAGTCTTTCTTCGATTACTGTGAAGAGACATGGTGACCAGGACAACTCTTGGGAAAGAAAACATTTAATTGGGGTCTATCATACAGTTTCAGAAGCTTAGTACATTGTCATTAGGGCAGGGAGCATGGCAGCACACATGGCCCTGAGAGACTCTGGGCTTGGCATGGGCTTTTGAAACCTCGAAGCCTACTCCCAGTGACACACTTCCCCTAACAAGGCCATATCTCCTAATACTCCTAATAATCCTTTCAAATATGTGTCACCACTTCTTGGTAATTAAGCATTCAAATATATGTGCATATATTCATTCTTATTCAAACCACCAAGGAAGGAATAGCATTTTTTTCTTTTAATAATAGCTTCCCACAAGCAAACAAATAAACAGCATTAGAGAGAACTCTTTCAGATGATCTCCCTGCCAGACAAACACCTTGATATACCTCAGAACTAAGCTGTAAACAGATTATTTGGCTGTAGAGGGTGTGGCTTCCTGCCATGTTCACAATCAGCAAGAGGGATTGCTAGGCTAGTGCCATTTGATTACCAGATTTTCTTGTGATCTATGACTGGGTTCCTTGGTGTGTTATTTAGCACAATGATGTTCTATATGGCTGTGCTTACTTGTTTCAAAGGAAAACAGGATGTTCACATTTGGTAAAATTTGTTCTGAGCACCATAAAACCTGAACAAAAGAAGCCCAAGTTTTTACCTTTTAAAAAAAACACAAATAGGTCAAGACAAAGTAAACCTACTAAAGTAAAGCAATGCTGCTTTGATCACTACCCTACCCATGCTTCATTCTCTGGACACAGCAGTGGGATCCAAGTACAGGTAGGGCAGGGCAAATAAATCCAGAAGGACAGTGACTTCTAAACTGTCAACCCCTTGGGTGCATGTGTCCAGTCAAAGCCTTGAGGTAATTCCAGTGTCAGCGTTGAACTCCTTCATTGAGCAACCCTAATCCTTCTGTGTGCCCTAGCACAGGGTTTCACTGTTCTGGAGTAAGGCCTGACACTGAACTGATGGCCAGGATTTCCTTAAAACATACCATTGTGTCTTCATTCTGTCTGCTTTAAAACAAACAAACAAAAAAAATGTGTTTAGATATGCTGGCAAGGCCTTCATAACACTTGTTTTGCTGGATTTTAACCTTGAGTGTCACAACACCTATGTATCTTCAGGAGTTTTCAAGGATTATCACCTCTTTAGGTATCTCTGTAAACACAGTTCTGCTGGGCTTGCTCTGTGGTCAGTAATGTGCCTCCCTAATGACTCCAGCTGTCAAGAAAAATTCTGACCCTGTTGGCCTGGCCAAGCATAGAATCTGCACGAGGGATCTCTACCCAGGGTCACATTTCAGCCTGAGTCTTTATTGTGCAGCCCTTGGACTGCTTCCTTAGACTACTGGAGTGCACAACATCCTTATCCAAGTTGTCTGTAGCTGGTAAACAGGCCTTGGTTTGCTTTCAATGAATGAGTTATGATTCTCGTGACCCAGATTTTCAAAGTTGCCATTTTCAGTCTTCCTTGAAAACCAAATTTTGCAGCACACTCCTATGCCAATTTGGCCTCAGGTACTGTTTCCTAAATTTTCCCATTATTACCTAAAGAACATTAAATAGAATTACTTTCTCCACACCAAAAGTCTTCCAGGGGATTTTCTCCTTACATTTGTGAAGGGTGGTGATCATGTACCTCTCTGGTGAAAGCCACTGGGCATTAATTAGCTCATCAGAAGTAACCTGGCTCTGGACAAATTTCTTGTATGACCTGGGTGTTTTCACCTTGTCCATATGACCTTAACTTCTGTAATTGCTTGTTCCTTTGGTATGAGATTGCCCCAGCTTTCAGTGGCATCACAGTGGAAGACCCTCGGCTGTGATTTATCTCTTCAAGAAAAGTCGTCAGCTCTCCAGAGGTGCCACTTCTGTCAACAGAGGAGCTAGCATGCTCTCCAGAGAGAAGCTTGAGCATCTAAAGAATTTGGATCTGTGAAGTGTGCATCTCATTGTACCTGTTTCCTACATGTATTTGATGATAGAGTTCTGCAAGTCCCTTATTTCTCACCTGGGACTGTCACCGTGAAGGGTCAGCTCCACCATTTAGATAATGGTATTTGTGGGCAGGATCTATGATGGAAATTTGAAGAGCTGATGGATTTTTCTCAGAGCCAAATGAAGGCTGATCCTCCCAATACTGCAGTGGACACAGGAAGAAAGGAAGCAGTCTAACAGAAAAGCAAGAAGATGGGGTCTTTCTCCTGAACTTTCCGTACAGCCAAAGCCAAGGAACACTGTCCTGGATCTGATGTTTCAAGCTTGCTGAAAAAAAAACAAAAACAGTTCAAGTCTGAGTTGGCCTTTTAAGCCGACCATCTGTGTGCCGGCTCTTCTCTGTGTGCTCTCTAGTGCCTAGTGTCCTTCCAGCTCCTTAGTTCCTGGCAGGGAATCTGTCAACCATGTCACTTGCTATTGAGCTGTGGTGTTTCCCTTCACCCAGCCTGCCTTATCTCTAGAATGTTTCCCAGTGATTTGATTGTCTCTTAAAACAAAGATCATTTCATTTGCCTCCCCTTTCCTTGCCCCCTGAATAGAACATGGAGCAAAATTGTGTGTTGACCAAGTGCCCCTCTCTGTGGCCTCTGGTGCTGCTGCCTAACTGCTGTGTTCTGGTTCCTCGAGGTCAGTGGTGTAGTACTTGACTGTGCTGTTTTGGCTTCCCTTTGTAAAATACCTCTGGTGTCCTGCAATGATCCTGTGAAGTTTTTGTGCTCTAGAAACTTGCTTATAGCCTACTTATCATCTGAGGTTAAGTTCCTCATGCAGTTTTATCCTCTCCTAGTTAACCTTCTGTTAACTGTGTTTTTGTTTTGAGGAAGATGGTGGGATCAGAGACAGGAGTACCATTGCTCTGACAGTGTTGTTTGGGCCCTAGAGTGGCCCTAACAGGGTTTTATTTTGTCTCTACAACAACAGTGGTCTACTATATTGTTCATCTGGAGGAGGAAAATGTTTTAGAGAATTTCTGTCTTTACTGCCCTCACCGCCATCACTCCTTTGCTTCCATCTTTCCCCCTTTGGGAATATTGCCCCTTCTGCATTTTTTTTATGGTTTTTCGAGACAGGGTTTCTCTGTAGCTTTGGAGGCTGTCCTGGAACTCACTTTGTAGACCAGGTTGGCCTCAAACTCACAGAGATCCACCTGCCTCTGCCTCCCTGCCCTTTCTGCATTTTTACCCAGAAGAGAAATGTTAGCTTTGTTGCACATGGACTTCTGAGTCTTGGGGGAAGGGGGAGCAATGTTGTGCCATGCAAGAAGTGTGGACCTAGGCTGTGACAACAGGGTTGTTATGGCGACCTGCAAAGGTAAACTATCAAGTAAGGTGTTTCAATGGAATGGAAAGCAAGAACAACTGGGCTAGCGATGTAGATTGGTAGCAGCAGGTAGGAGCACCTCAAAAATAAAAACAGTAATAACAAGAACCAGACATGGCACTCATGATTATTATAAGGCAGCAGATAACATGCTGTTAAACATAGGGTTTTTATCCTCATTTTCTCAGTTCAAAGCCTGTGTGGTCTGTGGTCCATCAGGCTCATGATATTTCAGCCCTAATTGCCAAGAACACTTGAAATCTGATTCTGACTCTAATGATTGCTTCTAATTGCTCCCCAAGGCAGGTTTATCTGCCAATCATTAATAATCTAAAAATACTTTGTATTTGTCACTTCCTGTCGTTTCCTGACTATTTGCCCACATATTTCACTGTGGCAGATGTTCCACATAGCAGGAGGATTCTGCGATTCAATAGGGGAGCTTGTGTTGTCTTGGTTAGTCTGCACTTGAGTCTGGTAAATACCTGGCTACTGGATGACATGTCCACAAATCAAAAGAGTGTTGATGAGGCTTAAAATATAGGACCGGAATAGTCACAGCTGTTGTAGAAAAAAAACTGCATTTAATTTGTTTCTACTGTAGCTATGAGGATGAAGGGAAACCAAGGCTGTCTTCAAAGCCAATGGCATTGTGGTAAATGCCTAGTATGTACAGTGGTGAGGAATGCCAGAATCACAACAGAACATGGTACCTGCTCTTGAAAAGCTTAGAGTTCAGTAATATAGTTGAATTTGTTAAACATTTTCTGAACTCCTTGCTAATACCCTAGAGGCACAGTCTTAAAGACAGCATTCTGTTGGTAGGGAATCAATGTGAACAGGTATACTGCCATTCACTGCCTAAGAAAAGGCTCTGTCCCAGAACCTGCCACTGAGCAATTTTTTATTGTTGTTTTGTAAACAATATAAAGTACATTTACATGCAGACAGTTGCTCTGTGTTATAGTCTTATAAGAATACCGTTGTGTATGATGTCCTTTGTTGATTAAAATGTTGTGCACTGTGTTTATGTTTATGTTCAGGACAGTTTGCTAAATACAGTAATATGTGTAGGAACACGTCCCTCCCAACATAGTTCTGTGTGGGTTGTTTTTAGGGCAGAATCAGGTAACATCTTTGTCCTTGTAGATTTTGTAGTCTACCAAGGAAGATGCACTAGATGAATGTTGACTGTAAATTCGTACTAAATGATATGAGGAGGTACAGAGCAGTTGGGATGGGGTGCAGCTCAGTGGTAGAGCACCCACTTTTAACACGTGTGATACCTTGAGTTTAGTCTCTAGTGCCACCCAAAAAATTATAACCTTAACATTTTAGGGGCAGAAAATAATTTTTCCCCTCAATGACTCATGATCTCACCATGTAGCTTGTCTGTACTAGACTAGCCATAAAGTCATGGCAATCCTTCCTCCTTAGCCCCCTAAGTACTAGAGTTTCAGATACATATTTACTTTTGAACAGAATCAGCCAGGTGTGATGGCAATACACACCTGTAATCCCAGCGCCTTGAGGGAGACGGGAGTATCATGAGTCTAGGCTATGAGACCCTGTCCCAAATATCAAAAAATAAGCTTAAGAGAATCGGGGAGTGGGGGGGTATTTCTATACCAAAACCTAGAAAAGAAATATGGGTCCATTCCTGCTGCACAAGAGGATCAGGAAAGATCTAAGCTAGTTGTAGATGGAAGGCCATATGGCAAGAAAGTGGTCAACTATGGAGAAAGAAGTTAGGGTCCAAGATCATTCAGGCTCTTCCTAACCTTGGTAAAGATTTTATATTGAATTTAGATACTGTGAGAAATTACTGAAGGGTTTTACTACATAAATGTTCCCTCAAGAGCGACCTTTCTGGACAAAGATGAAAGGAGGGCTCCAGAAGGTTCTTACTGTTGAAGGGGGCAAGGTGGAGAGGCAGCATTTGGCGGTGCCAGGGGAGGTAAAGTGGGCAGAGCTGACACCACCTTTCAGAGAAGGAAGCAAATGTGATTTAGGCCTGTAACTCGGAGCATGACAACACCCAGCTTTCTGGTTGAGTGCCTGTCAGATGGTGTCATTTGCTAAGGTGGAAAACTGGGGGAGGAGCCTGTTTGTTGTAGAAGATCAAAAGTTTAGGTCAGGCTTTATGGAGGAGGTTATCCTGCAAGTGGGTCAGACATAAGACATTGTACAAAGATAAGTGCCAGATGAAGGTGAATCACAGACATGGAGGCTTTAGCCTGGAGAAAACAGCTACTGGGAAGATACAAGGGCTTGCCTGCGAGGGTTGGGTGGCACTTGATTCATCTAGGAAATAGAGAAACCATATAAACAAAAGTATGCAGGCAGGCATGTTTGTGGATTAAGTCATAAAACAACTCAAATTGAGCCAGTCAACAAGGAGGAAGTAGTGAAAAGGGCCCTTGGATTGAAGAGACTCCTACCAGTGGCAGTACAAGAGCCGATTGTTGTAGAACTGTTAACCTGACATCCCAACTGCTTGCCTTTTCCCTGCAATTTGAATGTCTTGCTGGATATTTCAACTGGTTTTCTATATTTTGTTGTTGTTGTTTTGTTTTTTATTTATTTATTGTGTATACAGTCTTCTGCCTGCATGCCAGCAGAGGGCTCTAGATCTCATTCAAGATGGTTGTGAGCCACCATGTGGTTGCCGAGAATTGAACTCAGGACCTCTGGAAGAACAGTCAGTGCTCTTAACCGCTGAGCCATCTCTCCAGCCCCGGTTTTCTATATTTTAAAAATGATTCCTCTGGTTACTTTGTATGAGATTGTGTCTGAGCAGGGTGACAGAGATGGGGTAACTGTCCTTAAAATTCTAGTCCTGCTCTCACTGTTGAAGTGCTTGCTGTGTTTGAAAGACTTGAAGGGTGGCACCTTCTCCCATAGAGAGCTGCAGGTTGGCTTTTCCTTTATGAGCATTGGCCCTTACTGTGCCCCATAGTTTTGACCCATAAAGTCTTTTTCAGATACTGGTCATGGAAGAAAATAGACTTTAGGGGAAAGTCTATTTGAAAACTTGTTGTGACTGAAGAGTATTTGTTATGTGTAAGAAGCACTGAATAACACCGGAAGCCCAGTGACTACTACTACTACTACTACTACTACTCCAGCCACAACTTTTGGCTTTTGTTCATGCATATTTCCTTTGATGCTATAATCTTTTGAGGTTCTAGAACCTTCTAGGACTTATTGATAACAAGATGGGTGACTGTCCTAAAATTTTTAGTTATGTTCTCACTGTATGTGTTGTGTTTCAGAGAAAAATACTTGGAGGGAGGTGGCATTCTATAAAGAGCTGAAAAGTTGGCCACCCAAAGTTTCTTTGTCTTAGCATGTTTTTGCTAACTCCCACAGGGATCCATATGGCTTTGGAGATAGTCGAGATACAAGGCGTGATCGCTCTCCAATTCGAGGAAGTCCCAGACGAGAACCAAGGGATGGCAGAAATGGCCGGGATACCCGGGATAGCAGAGACATTCGAGACCCTCGGGAATTGCGGGACCACAGAGACAGCCGGGACATTCGAGATCACAGAGACAGCAGAAGTATACGTGATGCTCGGGACCTGAGAGATTTTCGGGACTTTCGTGACCTAAGGGACTCTAGAGATTTTCGAGATCATCGAGACCCCGTGTATGACAGATACAGAGACATAAGAGACTCCCGAGACCCTCTGTACAGGTATATCCAGAGCTTGCCCATCTGCCCTTTTGTTAGCAATTTTCCTTAGGTGTGTTTGGAGACACTTAGCAAAAACTCCATATAAAGTAACCCTACATTTCCTTATGTCCCTATCAAGTAACACACAGTAAGTTTGTTGAATGTTTGATGAATTGTGCTTATTCAAAGCATCTAGAGTTATAGTGGCACACACCTTTAATACCAACATTTGGGAGGCAGAGGTAGGCCTGGTCTGCAGACTGAGTTCCAGGACAGCCAGAGCTACACAGAAAAACCCTGTCTCAAAAAACAACAACAAAAAAACAAGCATCTGAAGCCGTCTGTGTTGTGAAAGACAATGTTGTATAGACGAAAGCAGAGGTAGAATATAAATTAGGTTGGCCATGCAAGAACATGGGGAAATTGGTCCACTTCATGAGTCATCAGGCAGATGCAGATGAAGCCACAGTGAGAACCTACTTTACACCTGCTCGGATACATCTAATGATTTTTGGGAAAGATGCAGAAAATGATTATTAGCAAGATGTAGATAGTGGTATATAGTTGGATGATTTAATGGCCGGGTGTGGTGGTATACACCTGTGATCTAGCATAGGAAGATGAAGCAGGAAGACATGTTCAAACCACCGTGTAAAGTGGTTCAGTTCTTCAGTCAAGAGCTTGGGCTAGGAATGCCTTGGACAGTGAAGTGTCTGCTGCACAAACATGAGGGCCTAAGTTCCATCCCCAGCACCCACAAACAAGCCAGACATGGTGTGTGCATCTGTAGCTCCTCCACTGAGGTGGTAGAGACAAGTAGATCCCTGTAGTTCTTGGCCAGCCATCTTTGACAAATAGATAAGCACAGGACATCTATCTGTGGCCTCCACACTTTCAAGACAGACACCACACTCACCAAGTTAAAGAGCAGAGGAGGGTTCAGACAGTCATGTGTGAGCACACACAGCAGCACTATCCATATAGACCACAAAACAATCCAAATATCCATCACTGTTAGATACCCATGTCATACAGTGGAGTAATATTCAGTCATAAAGCAGAGTGAAATGCTGATAATATGAAAACAGGTGGACACTGAGAACATTGCACTAAGTGAAATAAGCCACACACAGAAAAGCAGTTACTGTGTGATTCCGCTTATTTTAAGTCCTTGGAATAGGCAGATCCATAGACAGGAAATAGAGATTGTCGGGGCTGGGGAAAGCAGGCAAATGATGTGGAATTCTGTTTGAGATTGACCAACAATTGGAGATGGGTAACAGTAACAACTGTATGGCATTGGGATTGTAGTGCCGATGAAGTGTGCACTGAGATAACGCCTGTTATGGTGATGGCCACTTGTGATACTAGCACAGAAAAATGAGGCATGGAAGTTCAAAGCCAGCCTTGGCTGTAGAGCAAGTCCAAGGCCACATGAGACCCTGCCAAGAAAAAAGTTAAAATGGAATATTATTGATAGATATTTTACTGCAGTTTTTTAGAAGATGTATTTATTTTATGTATATGAGTGCTCTATCTGCATGTATGACTTTATGTCAGAAGAGGGCATCAGATCCCACTATAGATGGCTTTGAGCCACCATGTGGTTACTGGGGACTGAATTCAGGACCTCTGGAGGAGCAGCCACTGCTCTTTAACCGCTGAGCCCTCTCTGCAGCCCCCTTACTACAGTTTTTTTAAAATACAGGGAAGAGAGTTGAGGAACGCATGAAATGACTCCTCCAACAGACATTTTTCATTTGCTCAAGTGCTGTCTTTATTCCATCGCTTTTCATCCCAAGTCCCTATCATTTTGTGACTTAGACACAGTCCCAGAGACAATCAACAAGTCCTCCATACAAACCTGTATCCCAAAGTCTGTGACTGTGTTAGGGAGCTTTGGTTTTGAAGTAGTCTCTGCATCTGATTTTTGCAGGGTAGGACAGAGTTGTAACTTGAGAAATTGTCCCCAACTTTGCAGGAGAGAAGGCTCTTATGACCGCTATCTGCGGATGGATGACTACTGCCGGAGAAAGGATGATTCTTATTTCGACCGCTACAGAGATAGCTTTGATGGACGAGGCCCCCGAGCTAAAGGTGAAGTCCCAGCAGTGTTCCCATTCCTGGGGGAGAGTCATTCATGGACACCACCACCTCCACACAAAGGGCTTAGAGACCCAGGGAGGCAAACCACAAATGTTAATGTTGATGTTTAAATGCAAATTAGCACCATCCTGTAGGTTAGTCATCCCACAGGAAATGAGAGGGCAGACGATGGCAGGTGAAGGCTCAGAGACTGCCTTGTTACTTGTTTTGCAGATAACGACCATACTTATGGTGTAGGGCTTTGTATGTCTATCATCCTTACCTAGCAGCTTCTCTTTTAGGTAGAGGCAAGTAAGCATCTGTGTTACTTTTTACAACCTAGGTTTCTCAACCCTGTTATCAAAAATGTTCTTATTGTTTCCTACTGGCCAGTTAAGAGATGGGAAGAGCCTTGTTACAGGTGTTCTAGAGTGTAGTCACTCTTGCCCATTTGACTATCTCTGGGCACTTTGTTTTTTAGAAAGTCCACAAAAGTTTACATTGGAATAGTAATGAAATATATCTGCCAAAATGGGCAGACATTAAAAGAATAGCAATGCCCAGTGTTAGGTAATGTATTCAGAGAAATCAACAATGGCTGGTTTGCTTTTTGGTTTTGAGACAGTCTGATATAGCACAGGCTTCCTTCCTTCCTTCCTTCCTTCCTTCCTTCCTTCCTTCCTTCCTTCCTTCCTTCCTTCCTTCCTTTCTTTCTTTCTTTCTTTCTTTCTTTCTTTCTTTCTTAAACAAAGTAGCCCATGCTGAGCTCACTATGTAAGCTTGGCAGACCTTGACCTCAGCAGTCCTTCTGCCTCAGTCTTCCAAGTTCTGGAATTATATAGGCATGAGTCACCACATTGGCTGATCCACCGTTTTTGCATAAATAGTTAACAGCCTTTCTTGAGGTCTGTTTAGTAGTAGGATCATATAAAGCATTACAGTGACCATGGCCTATCACCCATGGCTCCATCTTAATGGATATAAGATAGTAGAAAGGAATAAAACTGGTTAATTTTGAGATAGGTATATGAGGATTACGTACTTTATGGAAGGGCAACCCTTACTTCCCCTTTCCCCCCCGCTGGTGTCTTGCAGAGCGTTTGAAACGTGAGGAACGGCGTAGAGAAGAGCTTTATCGTCAGTATTTTGAGGAAATCCAGCGGCGCTTTGATGCCGAGAGGCCTGTGGATTGCTCTGTTATTGTGGTCAACAAACAGACTAAGTAAGAACCCGTGCTTGATTCTCACTGGTATGGAAAATGTCACAAAAATGGAGGGTTTTGCTTAGCACTTCGCTCACTGACCTTATTCTGTGATGTCTTGAGTATCAGCTAGAGTTCTTGTCTCTGAGTGACAGAAAACCCAATAGGAAGTTCAGCCATGGCCCCCTTCTCAAGTCCAGCTGTCAGCGAGACCTGCCCTCTGCTGGCATCCCAGCTCTCCTTCACTTGCCTCTGCTCTCTTTTTGACCATGCTTTCCTTGAAGACAAGGCTTTGCTTTCCTAATGTACTCGTGTCCCGTCCCGCCCCCCCAGGTCAGTACACATCTTTAATCCCAACTCTCGGGAGGCAGACAAGTAGATCTCGGTGTTTGAGGCCAGCGTGGTGAACAGAGTTCCAGAACAACCAGGACTACACAGAGAAGCCCCATCTCAGAGAAAAGGCCTCTTGCTAAATCTAGAACTACTGTTATCTGCTAGTGTTGCTGGCGTTTTCTCGTCCCACCTGCTCCCGCTGCCTCAGCCCCAGTGAACACACAGACACATACATATTAGCTATTAAACTGTTGGCCGATGGCTATGGCTTCTTATTGGCTAACTGTCATAATTAGTAATCCATAACTACTAATTTATGTATTTCTACATTGCCATATCTTACCAGAGAATACCTGGTGCGTCCCATCTTCCCAGTCTCTACATGGCATCTCTTTTAGGTCCTCTCTGCCTTCCTTTCCCAGAATTCTCCTCATCTCCTAGTCCCACCTATCTTCCTGCCTCTACTGGCTGTCGGCCATGCAGTGTTTTATTCATCCACCAGTAAGAGAAACACACACAGAAGGACGTCCCCATTATGCTAGGCTGTCTGCTTCCTCAGCTAGCACTCTCAAGTGCTAATAAGCCATCTCTCCAGCCTTCCCTCCAAGTATTCTTCCAAGTCTTAGATTGTTTTCATGAGACTAAGCTGCCTTACTGTAACTCCTCTCTCTGATTTTGTCACTTTGGACAGGGGCCCAGAATATTGTAATTTACTAGAGCTGGGTTGTATGCCATAGATTTAGGTGAGATTAGCCCTTAGAACCATGTGAACTAAGAGCAAGAATGGGAATATATTCTAGTCAAGAAAAGTAGTATCTCTCCCGCACTTAAAGGGCAGCCTTGAATGGAATGGAGCCTTGTCTTGCTGAGGTGTTAGGTGACCACAGCCAAGTCAGAGTCCACAGGACCTCTCTGTTCCACTCTGTCCAGCTTACACATTTGCCGTAGCCGTGTTCTGTTTCCCCATGTAGTTAGTACATCTGTATGTTTTTAAAGGTACAGTGGCTAGGGAAATCTATATTGAGCCATCAGGCAAAAGTTCACAGGCCTTGGGTTGCCTTGCTTTGTCTAGATGCCAGATAAATAGCCATTATTTTCTGAGTACCTACTCCATATGACCCCCTGAGTGCTTTACCCCAAACGACCTCCTGGGTGATTTACATAAATAACTTTTATCATCACTATAATATATATGTGTCATTCAGCGAGGGGTGGCTAGGTACTAGGACTACAGTTTTAATAGTCATACACTTAGTCCCATCTGCCTGTAGTTCTCACAGTCTAGTGAGGAAGGTGACAAAAAGTATATAAATGAGTCTTGTGCCAGGAAAAGGTTAGGAGTTTGAGTTCGAGGCAAGATGAAGAAATGACAGGTATCGAGTCATGCTTCTGATTTACTGGCTTTAGAAGAAAAAGGGCTGACTTTGTTAAGAGATAAAGGACTTGCTCGTAGCTTCACAACTTCACAAATAAATGCTGGAACTGAAATCCAAACCCATTTCTAGCATAAAAACTCAGGCTTTCTTCCCATTGTGTCCCATGCAGTCTCCCCAAGGGATGAGAAGTCCAGCAGCACAAAATGGAAAGCAGTTGATAAAAGACTAGACAAAAGAAATGTATCGACTGCTCAGTGAGACATGCCTATAGTCTAAGCGTTCCAGAGTAGAGCTAGAAGTGCTTCAAATTCAGGGCTAGCCTGGGCTACAGGATAAGGTTCTGTTCTTAGTTGAACACATATGCTTCAGAATCCTGGGACTGCTACACTGCAGAACCTGTATAATATGTGCAGCCAGTGTACCTAAGGAAACCCTACTGATAGAGGAGAAAGAAGTTGAGATTTTTGCCTTCCAGGCAGAAACTGCCCAGTAAATATTGATGATTAATACTATCTATTCAGATAAGTTCATCAGATGCTCTGAACAAAATCAGATATGAAAGCCTGACAGATCCTGGTAAACTAGAACCTAGGAAGGAGCTACACATTAATCTCATTCTCAGTGAACAAGGTCTGACCCAAGGCCAGCTTCATCAGAAACCTTAGCTTTATCACCAAGTTAGGATTAAAATTTTCATGCAGTCTCTGCAGGCTAGTGAGGTCCTTCACATTGCCCAGTTTGGTTTGGTGTTGGTTTTTATTCTTTGTATCTGACTGCTGGGAAATGGCTTCAGTCACCAAACCTGATAACTGATGAATGATATGGCTGCTAAGCCAAGACTGTTAGTAAGGAAGCAATGGGTCATAGAGCAAAGGTTCTGCTACTGCATCAGAAAGAGGACTGAACCTGGGTGCTTAGAGGAAAGATGAACGAAGAAGGTTGTGAAGAAACGGTCCCGGTTTTTTGGCTTATCCCATTACGCTCTTCGTGGAGAATGTGTATGATAGTGGGGATGAGGCTGAAGACAAGGAAAGGAGTCTGGTACAGAACCCGTAATAGAGGCTTAGTTCCATTGAAGAGGCAGAAGAAAGGAAGCCAGGAGAAAAAGAAGAGGACGATGGAGAAGTACGTTAGTCAAGAAGAGCTTGAGAGAACAAAGCCTGTTTGGGAACAGAAGTCCTCGTGATGTTAGTAAAGAGCTCTCTAGGTACTCTGCCAGCAACTGGAAGAACACTGAGCTGCATAACCACAAGTTAGCCCCTGAGGATCTGAATTTTACTAGAGCCATTTTGGATTCCAAAGACCTCCCTCCTAAGTATTTCCTGCGAAATATTGCATCAAAGCAAAATTTAGAAAGCAATCAGAATTAATTTGGTTTAAAAAATGCTTAGAGCTGTTTGTTCATTAAAGTGACAGAAAAAGAACTGGAGAGGTGGCTCAGTGGTTCAGTACACTCTCTGACTGCTCTTCCAAAGGACCAGGGTTCAATTCCCAGCACCCATATGACAGCCAACAACAACGCACTTTTAATTAGAGTTCCAGAGGATCCAGTGCCGTCTTCTGATCTCCACACCAGGTACATGGTACACAGACATACATGCAGACAAGACACTTAAACACATAAAATAAATGTTTTAAATGTAATAAGTAAACTGGTAGAGGATAAGGAGAAACTACAAAAAGTTTTATGATACCCTCTTAGTCAGATGCTCTCATAGCTTATATGATACAACATGGCTGTTTCTAGTGATAAGGTGATTTCTTCTAAAGACCAGAGTGGAGAAAACCATAAACACATGTTTTCTCCCAGGGGAGGCAACCTCCTGTGGACCATCTCCAAGTAGTGGCTCAGAAGTGATCTGTATGACTAAGCTCGTTGGTGGTTACTGTGTCCACTAGCTGAAGAGTATTGAGGGGAAGATGTGTCAGCTACCAAAGATGGCTTGGAACTTCCAGAAGATAAACAGGAAGCGATCAAGTTTGAAAACTTAGCAAAATTATGAAAGATACTTTAGGGAAAAGATCAAAAAGGTGGTTGTATCTGATATCTTGGTGACATCCTCAGGAAACTGTTGTCATGGGCACTTATATAGATAGACAGCAAATAATGGAAAAAATCCTGAAGGTTTGACCTCTGAGAAACAACTCAGCCTTGGGGGCTAAAAGACAGCAAAAGACCCACAGGAGATCCACCTGAGCACTCCATTATTGAACCCTTAAGGCAGAGGCTGATGGGAATGGCAAGTCTGGAGCTATGCTCCTGTGCTGTGGCTTCAGGTGGGAAGCTCCCAGGATGCACTCTAGCAGGATGCCCAGTGTTGAGGAGTGTGACCCCACTGCTGACAACACAGCACCCTTGGAAGAAGCAGTCAGGCTTCATGGGAAAAAGTGTGCTCAGTGCCTCCTTCATTCCTCTGATAATGTCTGTTCCGTGGTTGGGATGGGCTCTTCCCATTTTGAACATCTGAATGGCATGAGAGCGAAGGTGAAGACACAGTGTTTTCCTTTAAGTGAGTGAGACTGATGACTCAGGCGTTGAAGTGAAGCTGGTGATGCTTTCTCTAGTGTCCTTCATACGTGACTATTTATGGTTCGGCATATTTAGCTGGGAAGCTAAAGTCCCTCAGTAGACCAAATCTTTCCTCGTGAAGTGAGCTCTACCTTGATGTTTAAAACTCATGTAAAAATGGCTTACAGTTCTTTTAGTGTACCCTTTTTACAACTCCCTGTGGTTAATTCATGGACTAGTCCTCTGGAAACAGTTTGTTGAGCTGAACTCAATGGGAGGTATTCTCCATGAGGCTTGTTTTTCAAGAGTAAAGTACCAGGAATGCTCAACTAACACAGCAAGACTTCTAGATAGAAACAGTGTCCAGTGATAGTAAATGAGATGGAGGGAATAAAATACTATCCTACTGGCAACTTCCTTGCCAGCCCATAGGCAAGTTAAAACTAGAAGCCTAACACCGGGTGTGCTAGAGCCTGATTCTGAAAAGGAGACACAGCAGGCTAGGGTCCAGGAGTGTTCAGATTGAGATATGGCTAGGGAGTGCTCACCCGTATCCCGTTTGTTCTTACAGGGATTATGCTGAGTCTGTGGGGCGGAAGGTACGAGACCTTGGCATGGTTGTAGACCTGATCTTCCTCAACACAGAGGTGTCATTATCACAAGCGCTGGAGGACGTCAGCCGGGGAGGGTCTCCCTTTGCCATTGTCATCACCCAGCAGCACCAGATTCACCGCTCCTGTACAGTCAACATCATGTTTGGAACTCCACAAGGTACCCAGATAGTCCAGATTCCCAGAGATAGTCACCAGCACACTGATTCCCAGAGATAGTCATCAGCACACTGATTCGGTGGCCTGCCTGTGCGATGTGGGTTTTGGAGAGTGGCTGATGTGTGTCATCTCCAATGTAGCAGACCCCTTTTGTGCTGTCCAGGAGACTTTCATCATCATGTTTTCCTTGGTGTTCTCTGATACTGCACTGGAACTGCTTGCAAACTGTTCAACAACCAGTTCTACCGTAGAGGCGGGTGATTTGTAGCATTCACTGATTTCCGTGATGTCAGTACTGTCATAGTATCCCATCTCAAACCTCCAGTGTCACACCTGGCTCCCAGTGAAGTCTGGCTTAGACATCTGCTGCCTGAAGTGCAGCTCCTGGAAACAGGCTTCACAGACTGTTTGTCAGTATGACGAAGAAGCAAGTAGAGGAGTTATGAGGACAAGAGGTAGCTCTGGTCCTCCAGAGGAAGGATGGGATCCTTCAAGTCATCCTTCAAAGTGACTTGTGCTTTGAGCCCAAGCATTACACTCAGCCACCCATGCCCTGATTGTGGCTCTTAAAGCCTAACTTCCTCTTTTCCACCTGCCCAGAATCTTTGATGGCCTGGCTGTCAACACCCATAGTCACAGGGTATGTTAGAATCCCCAAGTCATTTGTCTCTGAGGAGCTGCCCTTAGTTTGTGTGAGGGTGTTTATGTAAGGTTCCAAGAAGTGCCCTCCCCACACTGCAATGTGATCTCAGTCCATGACTTTTGAACTGATGGATTTAAAAGTGGTGGCTCTGCTCTGAGGCGCACAGCGGGGAGCCAGACTTTACAGAGATTCTTTGGCCTCCTGCTGGTGTCTAGATGCTACAGGCTGCTCCCACATGGTCTATTCGACTCTGTGGGAGGCTCTTGTGTTCCTTTGGTTTTTACCACAGGTCTGTGATCCAGGAATCTCACTGAAGAAATAGCTGTATAGGAAGGATTGTCCCACACTGAAGAGCACTGCTCTCTCCCTCAGCCTACCTCGCTCTAGGCTCAAGGCAGTGCTTCTCTGCTTTGAGAATTAGAAAGGCTTGGCAAAGTGCAGCAGTGGGCACTTGGATCTGTCATGGGAGAAAATAACTTGTGTCATTCCCTCCTACAGAGCATCGCAACATGCCCCAGGCAGATGCCATGGTGCTGGTGGCCAGAAATTATGAACGCTACAAGAATAACTGTCGGGAGAAGGAACGTGAGGAGATTGCCCGACAGGCAGCCAAGATGGCTAATGAAGCCATTCTACAGGAACGAGATCGTGGAGGCCCAGAGGAGGGCGGTCGTGGGGGGCACCCTCCAGCCATTCAGAGCCTCATCAACCTCCTGGCAGACAACAGATACCTCACTGCAGAGGAGACAGACAAGATCATTAACTACCTGCGTGAGCGGAAGGAGCGGCTCCTGAGGAGCAGCGCCGACTCTCTGCCTGGTGAGCTACGTGGCAGGGCCGAGGTGAAGTTGTCACTCTGCATTTCTCTCATCCCGCGCTCCGCTGGGGGGGGGGGCATGCCCAGGGTTCCTGGGGTGGGTGAGGGACAAGAGGCATCCATGGGCTTCTCCCACAATCCGTGCACGCTCGTGATACTGTTAATAGTGATTTAGATTCATTGCTGAGCTCTGCTCCTTTTAGTTGGACTGGTGGGGGATAAACTAGTGCTGTTGGTTCCCTGGGAGCTATGGTGGATGCCCTTGGTTATTTATTTATTCCTTTTGTCAAGCAATTTTTTGGGCACTAAGCTGCCTTCTGTGAAACAGTCCATGTTCTGAGATGGTCCTTTTAGAATTTGATGTTATTGTCTGTGCTGTGGGATTGTTGTGATGTATGGTTGGTGTTCTTCCTTTGGATGCTAGGCCTCCTGCCCTTAGGGGGCACTCTCAACCAGATGCCTCCCTCTTCTGTCTTCCAGGCCCGATTTCCCGCCAGCCACTCGGGGCGGCCTCGGGTACCTCGCTGAAGACACAAGCAAGTTCCCAACCGCTTCAGAGTGGCCAAGTGCTCCCCTCTGCTACACCCACTCCAGCCGCACCCCCCACCTCCCAGCAAGAGCTTCAGGCCAAAATCCTCAGCCTCTTCAATAGTGGCACAGTCTCGGCCAACAGCAGCTCTGCATCCCCCTCGGTTGCTGCCGGAAGCTCCCAGAACCAGAATTTTTCCACAGCAGCAAACAGCCAGCCTCAGCAAAGACCACAGGCCTCAGGAAGTCAGCCTCCAAACCTTGTGGGACAGGCGGGGTCTGCTCGGAGCATGGGCCCCAGGCCTGGGGCTCCTTCCCAAGGCCTCTTTGGTCAGCCTTCCAGCCGCCTGGCACCTGCCAGCAACATGGCTAGCCAGAGGCCTGTATCTTCTACAGGTATTAACTTTGACAATCCAAGTGTACAGAAGGCTCTGGACACCTTGATCCAGAGTGGCCCTGCCCTTTCCCACCTGGTTAGCCAAACTGCTGCACAGGTGGGGCGGCCCCAGGCCCCCATGGGATCATACCAGAGGCATTACTGAGGCTCCAACGGTCCACTGTCCCTAGTCCCCCTTTTCCCTGGCCCCTCCCACCTCAACCTAAGTAGAGATGTTTGGAAGTGTTCTTCTCACTCTCTGGGTCAACATCAGATACCCTGAGTTTCTTGCACCGCTCCTTCCTGCGGCTGTTGCTTACCACTTAACAGAATCAGAACTTAGACTGCTTTTGGGACTGTATCTTTTGTTTGGGTAGAAAATAAGTATTTCTGGGGTCTATGCTCAGCGTCTTCTGATGGGGTACTCTGACCCCTGCCTGGAGCTGGAGGAAAAAAGGAAGAAGCCAAACCCCAGCTGCCCCAGTTTGGACACCACTTGTGGGATCAGTTGTGACAGACAGCTTTGTTTGCACCTCCACACATCAGCCAGAACTGAGCTGCCGGCTCACACAGGAGCAGTTTGGCCTTGGCCGGCCGTGTCATCACGAGAATGGAACTCCACTCAAGGACTCACATGGCCACCCTGAACTGGGGAAGCGTGGCGTGGCAGCTACCAAGAGTGGACTCTTGTGCCTGCGTCAGAATGGTCCCTTGCGGGTTGGTTTGGTTTTGTAGTTTTCCATTTTCCTGGAGGGTCTCCAGATGACCAAGTGGCTCACTCAGCAGTTTGACAGAACTGTGACCGGGACCCACTGCTCTCCACAGCATTAGTCAGCACTTTGTGCCCAGCGGCACTGACGGGGCAGCCCCAGTCTCTGGCACTGAACACCCATGTTTTCAGTGGTTTATTTGGAGCCTTAGGCTTTTGTTTTCATCCAGACTCTTGTTTTTCTGATGAGCAGGAGGTAGGGACCATTTGATGTTAGACTATAGTAGTTGGATATGTTCTCAGACGGACAGCATTCATAACTTTTGAGACAGAGTGGCACTTGGATGGCTCTGACTGCCACCCTGAACGGATGGATCCAAAGGAAAACCCCTTTTCTTTTGGGAAAACTGATCATTAGAAGCCTGTGGCTCAGATCTGTGAGAGAGAAAGGAGGCCTGGCAGAACAAGCAAGAATGGTAGTTCCAGCTGAGCCCCTGCCAGGCTGAGCAAACCAGTTTCAAAGCCCGAGGTCCCCAAACAGCAGCAGTTTATGTTCTGATCTGTTTGTTATATGGTGGGTTCCCCCCCCCCCTTTGGAACTCTTGTGTTGTTGATAAAATGAAATAATTACTTTTTAATTAAAATAAGAAAGTCAGGTCTGTGCTCATCTTTCTTGGTGTATCTGCAGCACCTCTTTGCAGAGCACTTCCCCAAGATCAGGCTTAGGATCCCTGACCCAGCCTGAACCTCAGTGTGCTGCCCACCTGCCGAGAAGTGTTAGTAATGGCACAGAGCAAAAGCCTCACATCAAGTCCTGCCCTGCCTGCACCTGCTTCTAGTAGAGACAGCTTATCAGGGGTGTGGTCAAAACGTAGGGAAGGAAGCCATTGTGAGACACCTCTATGGATGATGGTTAGAGGCAGGGGCATTCCTCATTAGCCTTCATTTCTGTTGCTGTCTATCATGCAGGAGTTTGACATAATCTATAGTCAGAACCTGAAAGCCCTGAAGAGCCTGTAATATACTTGGCATGAATGTCCCAAGCTTCCCCCAAAGGCCTCACTGCCTCCCAGGGGGTGCCATGGGACCTGACACGTAGGAAGCGCACCTCCCGGGTCAGGCACGGCACAGGCCCAAAGCTGGTGTGCCCACTTCTCCTTTGAGCAGAGAGGACTGTCTTCCCACCCACGAGTCCTGTTCTGACTGGACACGGTGGTCCACACATAAAATCCCCAGGACTCCGAAGGCGGCAGCGAGAGGAATGGGAGTTGAAGGTCATCCTGGGCTGCATTAGCCAAATTCCAAACCAGCCTGGGCTCCGTGAGATCCCGTCTCAAAAACAAAACATCCGTCAAAAGTGGATTTGACTTCCTCCTCAAGTGTCCGAACCGTACCCCTTAGGCTATCAAGGGTGTAATAAAATTATTTTTATTGCATTGTGTGCAGACAGGTATCTAAAAAATTAACACAGTAAAAGCCTTAAAGCATTAAATGGGAGCATTCAACAATAAAGGAAAGACTGACCCTCTCCTTTGCATATTGGCACGAAGAACACAAGATCAGTACCGAGGCAGGATGCGAAATACCAAAACACTAAAATTAAAGGCAGGCCTAATAATAATAGTAATAACAGTAAATACTCTTGATTTGGCTTGCAACCTCTCCTATTTACAAGGGTTTTGGACTTGCTTTGCATTGCCCTGCACATAGGTCGGCTGAAACAAAAGCAACACTCCTTCTCACTACCAGGCTATTGAAATATTGCACTCAGTAAGTCACCTGGATGGACATGGAACATCTAGCTACAGTGATTATAAAGGTGACTTGAACGACACAAGGTTCATAACAAATATTGCACATGGAGCACAGAAAACTTGGGGTTTCGTTGTGGGATGTTTCATCAACGGAAACTTTGCTCTTGCCAACCAGAGAGTCTGGGCCTAGGTAGTGCAACTTTGGTTCCCTAATTGATGTTGATAACAGCCTCTTCTGCGCAGCCCCTCTCTTGCCCCAAAAGGCAAGACCATGGCAAGGGAGGGCAGTCTTGAAGGATGGCATGTCCTGGGTCCCACACTTCCAGCTTTATGGATACTGCCTGGAAGAATATCCAGTCCACATCAAATCGCAGAGGGGCCTTGGGCCCAGCAGCGGAGCAGAAACTCCCAGCCCTGCCACTGGCCACACCTGACCGTCTAGACTACGCCAGCTGCAGCTCTCTGCTTGGGGCTCAAGGGGAAGGAGGTGGTGAGGTCAGCTAGTGGTCCCGGGCCCTGGAGTGGGCAGGATGTCTAACTAGGTGCGCAGGCCAGGGTCCTGGGGCTGGAGGCACTGTACCCAGTCCCAGAGGGCGCTTAAAGGAGCATGCAGTGCCTGTCCCCTTAGTAACGTGCCCTAGGGGAAGGGAACCGGCCAAACGCCTTTCTAAGGACTGAGGGCACCTCCCCAAAGGTGGGGCTGGTGGAGCGGAAGCGCCAAGGACGAGTTAGGGAAGCCAAAGGCCTTGGGTCCAAGTCAGAAGAGGGCAGAGAAGCGCGAGGATCAACAGAGCCCACGTGAGTCCAGCCCTAGCTCTAAGGACCTGCTACTAGGCAGCAAGGCCTGTCTCCAGAGCACTCAGTAGGCAGCTGCGTCCCCAGGCAGGACCTGCAGAGGGACACCAAGGACACCAAGGGAGGGAACATCAGAGGCTGCCCGGGCCTCTAGACTGGCATTGGCCCCTCGACCCTCGCCTGTCTCAGGGAGGAAACTGGGGAGTGGGTGCCCTCCAGCTCCACAAATTCAGTCTTTGGCGAGGAGCCATGGGGAGCAGGCGGCAAGCTCCTCCGCGAAGGCACCGGGCGGGGCTTGCTCAGTAGGTGCGGCCCTCGGTTTCTCCCCCGTGGAGAATCGACCCCTGGCTTTCCTGGTCGCCAGAAAGCTCGCATCCACCGAAGCCGGCCGCCGTCTCACCTGTGTTTGCCAAGAACTGGAAGGAAGAGAGGGAGGCCCAGGGTGTGGACATGGGAGGGAGGGAGAGCGCGGGCCATAAAGCACTTGGCTCTCAGCTCGGGTGCAGGGAAACCTGACTCCCGGGGCCTCCGCCTCCCTGGGCGCCCACAGCGGGGAGAGCGCGGCCGTAGCGAGGAGTCCGTTGCGCTTCTAGTTACAGAAATATGGGGACATTAAAAATACACGCGATGTCTCCTGTACACTATGTATAGCGCGGCCGGCCGGCGCCTGAGCTCGGTGACCAGGGTCCCGGGGAGGACGCGGCAGGGCGTGGGAAGGGACGAGCCCAGGGCTGCCCGGCCCGGGACCGCGGCTCCGCTCCTTTCCACGCCACCTTTATTGCAGCGTCAGCTCCAGTGGGGCGAGGCCGGGCTCAGAAAAGGGACCCACGGGCCGCCGTCAGAGTCAGCCCCGACGGGCACGGCCTCTGGGCTGCAGGCAGCGGGGAAAGGGGCCAGGGCACGGGCACAGGATCTTATGTAAACGGTGACAGCGGCGGGGTGGCGCGGCGAGGGCTCCGGGGCCGCGGACCGGGCGCGCTCTGGCCGGCTTGACAGGTCCTGGCCCTCAGGAGTAGATGGTGATGACCTCGCGGCCGCCACCGCGGACCAGCATCACCCGGTCCAGTTGCTCAGTGAGGACCTCCAGGAACTCCATGTCTGAGAGCTGGTCAAGGAGACAGCGCCTGCGCCTTCCCAGAGCCCGCGTCCCTGTCCAGTGCTGATCCTGCTCTGCTGTTTTCAGCCCAGACTAGAGGACACATGTACTTTGCCAACAGCCTCCCTCTTCCCCCCTAACTAAAGTCCAGGATACAGTTTTCATCACCATTGCGGTTGCGGGGAGGCCCAGGCATGTTGAGCAAAACCAGCTTGGCTTCCCGGGATTTATTCACGATGACCTCGTTCAGCCGCACGGCCGTGTGCATGCGCCTCACGTTGGACTGGTTCCTGTAGAAAAGAGGAGGCAAGGGCGTTAGCCCAGGCCAGAAAAAGCTAAGTCTGGTCACCCTCCCAGCCTGAGTCGGGCTGCCCAGCCTGGTGCTTGCCGGCCTGGGACCTCCCTCAACACCAGATCTGTCCAAGCTAGGCCATTTAGAGGCCCCAGAGGACAGGGACACCCCTTGAGGATTCCATGGAATAGATACCCTGGAAACCTAGGAGAGAAGATGGAAAAATGGTAGCGCACTTACAAGTTTTCCCACTCCCTTCAGGAAACACAAAGAGAAGCAAAGAGAGAAAGAAAAAGAGGGGTCAGGAAGAGGTGGTGCCGCTGAGCCCACATCGTCTGCCCTGGGTGAGCCTGTCCTCACTCTCACAGCCCCCCCCCCCGCCTCTCTTTTCAACACCTCCACTTGGGAGTTGGTTCTGACCCTTAACCATCTAGCCCAGCCCTGTAAGTCTCTGTCTGAAAAAACAAGGCAAGCTCTGCCCTGGATCATGACTGCCGGAGGAGGACTCCAGCTCATTTTCCCTGCCATAGTAAACAAGAACTTTAGGTCCACCCAACCCCGAGCTTCAGCCCCCAGGCCCATACGGCTTCATGCTGAAGAAGTCCTTGATGCCCTCGGAGGAGACAGGACTGGGGCCTTTGTTCTTCTCTGCCACTGACTTGTCCTTGGTCCAGGTAAGATGCACCTTCTCTGGGTCTGCCTCCCCCTCCCCCTCAGGCTCCTCCCCTGGAGATGGTGAGCTGCTAGGGCAGCTGGGAGCATTCTGGTCATGGATCAGCTGCACCTGGAGGAGGGGGGAGTGTTCAGCAGGCGATTCTTTTGGTAGCCAAAGGTTCTGTTCCCACTCGCCAGAGCCAAATCACACCAGCCACTCACCTCCTCTTCTGGCTTCTCCTCACCGTCACCAGCTGTCTCTTCAGGAACATTGAGGCGGAGTCGAGTGTTGGCTGGATTCTTCCTCCGAATGGAGCCCCGAGACTCATCTGTGATGCTCTGGATCTAGGGAGTGACATAGGTTGATGCCAGCTCTGCTGGGGGTCACCACCCACGCCCTGCCAAGAGCCATTACCACAGCTGAAGCTCATCCAGGTTAAACGCATTCCCGAGTGGCACACATTGTGAAAATAGTACAGTGCCTCACGACCAAACACCTATTACACCGCTGGCCCGGCCTCTGATCTCCAGAGCTCAGACCTCCCTGCCGTCAACAACCAGCAGGCTAACACCTGGCACAGCAAGGCTTGAGCCTAGCACTATGGTCCCGTGTCACTCCGGTTACCCAGCACAAGCCATCACTTCCACTGTCAGCCTGGATGACACCCCATCCAAGAGCCCGCTCACTTCCCTGAACACGCATCAGCCTCATGGGGGAAAGAGCAGATTCTCTTCACCTGGGAGACCCACAATCACAGCTCTTCACCCTCACCTACAGGACCTGCCACCCATTCCCCCAACAGCCTGACCCCCACTTCTAGGCGCTCTGTCCACAGCCTGGGTAGCATCCCTCCCTTCCCCCAGGGGCTCCACTCCCTGGAGTGGGTCTTTTATCCATACTCCACAAGACCAGGGACTGAAACCTAAGAGCTCTTCCCCCATGGGGTGCTCAGCGTCCCTGCTCCTGAAAGCCTTTCACTCACACCCTAGGAGGCTCGCCCCTGACTCCTACCCAACATCCACGTCTTTAAATATACATCTGTTGCCCACTCTGAGAGTCGTTACATGAACCCTCGTCTCCCACGCTGGCAGCCCACACCCCCTGAGAACTCGTCATCCATGCCCATTTAGCATCCACTATTCTCCCTCAGGCCTACAAGTCTCCTACAGAGGAGAAAGTCTGTCTGGATGCCAAAGTCCCTGGGAGGGGGGCTGGGAACATGCATCGGCCACATGTCCCACTGCAGGGGAGCCGGGCGTCAGGAGGAGGTGGCAGATGAGGGCTACTAAGGGGAAAAGAGCAGTGCTGATGGCCAGGGATGTCAGACAGAGCCTCCCACACCTGTAAAACCCCACGTTCTGCAGCAGCTCGTGGCTGAGAGCCCCACCGTGGGGGGGGGGGGGGGGCTTACCTCCCGCTCCCGCTCATTCTTGGTCAGGTGCATCTGCTTGAGGATCTGTGAGCGCTGCTCCATCACCAATGTCTTCTCGTAGGTGTACGCTGAGATGTCACTCTCATGCTGTGCACAGGGAGGAGCACAGGACTTGGAACTCAGGAAGGCCAAGGTGGGAGGCGGGGCCCTCCCTCCCTCCACCTGCACCTCCCTATCACACGCCCTAGCACCAGGTTGTAGGAAGCAGCGCCATGGCCTGGGAAAGCACGCAGCTAGTTCCCCGTGCACCCAACACAGAACCAAGGATGGAAATGAAGTGATGAGTGAGTTGACAGATTAATTGCCTGAGTGAAAGCAGAAGGGGAAGAAGTTTGTGAAAAGAACGAGAGATGAAGAACACACACCTAGGCGAACGGGGTGATAAGTGGAAGGCTATGTGGCCAGGTTAGTGAGCACAGCCGGAGGCATGGACACACCGAGGAGGTAAAGAGATAGGAGCTGGACCGTGCGCCCACCAGGAGCAGGCCAGGCAGTGGCCTGCAGGGTTTGAGCTCTGACTCAGCCACTCACTGTACTGTGCAGTCAGTCACTACACAGTCTCGACAGTGTGGCTGGGAGTGCAAACGTCTAATGTGTGTGTCTCATTAGAGGCCATGAGAGTTCCTGCTTGCCAAGTGCACACACAGTGTGTCAGGGTGAGCATGCTTCAACATGGCAGTTACTCGGAGAGAAAGAAGGCTAGCTGGATGAACTCTTGGATGAGCTAAGGGGTGGTCCCAGGAAGGCAAGCTGATGGGTCTTGGAGGAGCCCTGACTGGTGCTGGGGCCAATAAGAAGGAGCTGCAGGTGGGGCTTCTGGGCGCTCACTCACCATCTCCACCACCTCCACCTCTGCAGTAATGCGTAAGTGGTATAGAAACGTGGTCAGGTCTTTCTTCATCTGGATGCTGTTGTCGTCCATCTGGGCCACAGTGAAGATCCGCATCTTACATTTCCTCCAGACCTGCAAGGATCAAAGGCAATCCAGAAGGGTCCAGCCAAAGGCAGTGAGAAGACCCATGGCCAAAGTGCCCACCCCTTCCCCCACTGGCTCCTCCCACCAAGACTCTATCTGCAGACTGGCCTGCTCAGGTCTGAGCAGTCTGCACTAAGGTACCACTTCCCTGTATGAAACATCCCCTCTCCTTTGCAACAGCGTACTTGTCAGGTCGGCACATCAGTCCCCAACACCCCTGATAAGGGGGATGATCAGAGACCCCAGGAAGGGCGAGCACGGAGGCTGGCCAGAGCACTGAGCTTGCCCATGGATGTACCTGCATGCACACACGGCCCCCCCCCACCGCAGACATGCGTGCACACAGACCTTATGATGACGCAGCAGGAAGGGCAGTAGCATGAGCATGCCCCCATCGTGCACGATCCACCACACATCGATGCTGCCCTCGGAGAAGCGCTCAGGGTTCCCAGGAAACATGGAAACATTCTTGGTGACTAGCAGGGCCAGGTGGCCTGCTGTGGTTTCCCGGACCAGTTCTTGGAAAGGCCAAAAAAGAAAGGACCAGAGGGCAACAGTGACCAATCCTCCTGGTGCCCAGGAAAAGCCACAAGGTCTCCTGGCACCCAGCACCCACCACACTCCATCTGACCTTGGCCTTGGACTCTGGTAATCAGGGTAGCAGCATCTACCTGGGCCTCGTCCCCTACTGGCTATTTGACTGTAAGAAAGTACTTCAGTCTCCTGGTCCTGTTAATCCCCACCTGTTAAATGACCAGTAGCACCCCGTTCTTTTTTCTCTTGTGTGTGTGTGTGTGCATGTTCATGTGGGCACACATGTGTAGATGTATAAGGAGTACAGGCATCAGCCTCAGGCAGACTTCCCTGTTCCTCAAGAGCCATCCATCTTGATGGGGTTTTTCATTTGTCTTTGCTGCTGTCTGTCTGTCTGCCTGCTTGCTTGCTTGAGACAGGACTCTACTTGACCTGACTGGTTCAGAGCTCACAGAGTAGGTGGGCAGCTGAATCCCAGGAAGTCTCCTGTCTCTGCCTCCCCAACACCAGAGACCTCTGGATTTCAGGATCAAACTCTGGTCTTCATGATTTCATGGTCAGCACTTTACCAACTGAGCCCCTCTCCAGCCTACGCCTCTACGGATCATTAAGATGCCATCAGAGGGTGGGATGGCTCAGTGGCTAGGAGCACTGATTGCTCTTCCAGAGGCCCCAGGTTCAGTTCCCAGCATCCACATGGCAGCTTACACCTGTCTGTTACTCCAAGATCTGACACCCTCACACAGACAGGTATGCGGGAAAAACATCAATGCACATCAAATAAAAATAAAATAAATTATAGAAAAAGAACCCATCAGAAGCCAGGCAGTTGTGACACATGCCTTTAGTCCCAGAACTTGGGAGGCAGAGGCAGGCAGATCTCTGTGAATTTGAGGCTAGCCTGGTCTACAGTGAGTTCCAGGGAAACCCTGTCTTGAAAAATGGAGGAAAAAAGCCCACCATGAGTGGCCTCTGCTGTTTCAAACATGACTTCCTAGGTTTGCTGTGTGACCCAGGCAAATTCCTCACCATCTCTGTCTCAGTCTCTCACCAACATGCAGGTGATAGTGCCTGGCACTCAGGGAGGTGAGAGCTTTAGAGAAAATCTCCACTTACCTGGTACAGACCAGAGCTGAGACACAGACCCTGACCACAGTGACTCCGAAGCTGCGGCTGCCACCCTGCCCTGTCCTGCCCATCTTCCTCCCAGGGCCTGACATAGAAGCTAACATGTGGCATCACCTGACTGTGCTCAGGAAACCCTCAGAAGGCGAAGCAGCCCAGGGCCAGCCCTCCACCCCGACCCCGCGGCATCAGTACCGATGAAGTTCCTCCATGTCTGGTGATCCTCCTTCTGCCGCCAGTTGCGAGGCCAGCCCACTAACACAGTGTTGTGTTGCAGCCCACCAAGACCCCCAGACTGGATGAGGTGGGACACGCCATCACGCAGGTTAGAGGAGATCACTACTTGACAGAAGCCCTTCACCTTCTCGGCCTCCATCAGGCGTCGGATAGACTGTGGGAGATGTATGTAGTAAGGGCCAGCCTCAGACACCCTGCGCTGGCTGGGGCTGGGACTCACAGGCTCCTCCCATCTTTCCATCCCCTCCTCCCTCTCTCTGTCCCCTTCTGCATCTGTCCTATCTTCCTGAACCTCAGTTAGGACCTTCTCTGACTCTAGGACCCACACTGGCACCGCACCCCATCACGGATGACCCGCCCCACGCCCCACCCCCTGCTGTTACTCATTCTTGCTCAGCACACTCTCCATCCATCCCCAGGGCCGCCCTGGACTCAAACGCCACCCTCCCCAGAGCCCACCTCCATCTAGCCCACAGTTAAGCCAGGCTGTTCTGCGTGACCACACAATGCAATGATTTAACAAAAACCATAGGCATTTTCAGTGCACATTTAATCTGCACTGAGGGTAGGAGTCTCATCACTCCCGTTTTATCAATGAGGAAATCGAGGCTCAGAGAAATTAAGATTCGCTTAAGGACAAGCTGCTAATGTGAATGACGATTCAAGAGCCAGGAGACTCATTTCAACCACTCTGCCCTCAACCACTGACCTGATGTCTAACAAATAGAGGCTAATTCCCATCTCTGCCACCTCCCGGCTACGGCCTTGCACAAGTCACCTAACCTCTACTCTTATCGTCCGTGGGGGGGAGGGGCAGTTCCACTTAGGAATCAGGAAAATTACACAACTTGATTCATGAAAGAGCTCAGGACACTGCCCTGTATCATAGCCCTAATGTGTCACATTGCTCTGTCCTTATTAACCCAGCGCAGCACTCAACAGGGCCGAATGGGTTTGGAGCCTTCTGCCTGTGGCCTGTGGCCTGTGGCTATCTTGTTCTGCTCTATGCCTAGCCTAGTGTCTGGTACCCAGCATGCTCTGGGCCAGTCCACACTGAGTTGCCCTGACCAGTTGGGGCCTCCAGCTCTGAATCTTGATAGACTGGTGTGAACAGCTCGGTGAGGCAGAAACAGCAACTGTCCCAAGCCATTAGGGTGCCCCTCCCCGGCTCACCTTGTCTCCCTTGGGGTCCCTTTTCTCTCTCTACTTCCAGCTACAACCCTGAGGGAAGATAGGCCTGAGTCTTAGGTGGAGCCCACTTCCTCCTCTGCCCACTTGGGTTCTAGATACTTCTCGTACAGTTCATGCTCACCCAGCTGCCCCATTTACAGTGGCTCTGTGTGTTACTTTGTGGATATGACAAAAGCAGGTGACCCAGAGCCAGGGGCATGTGCAAATCCTGGCTAGACTTCCAGCCAGCCGTGTGACTTCAGAAAGCTGCCAGCTCTCTCTGGGAGAGGCTTGGCTTCCTCCTAGAAGCTCTTTCGATCTGTTTTTGTCTTGTTTAATTTTTTTGATTGGTTGATTAGTTTTTGTTTTGCTTGAATTTTAAAGCGCCTTGAAAGAGTTTCCCCTCCAGCAGGAAGAGCAGTTTCTGACTTGAGGTAAGCTGGTCTCTAAACCTCAGTTTCCTTATCCATGAAATGGGTCCTTCTGGCTCTGTCAGCCTTTGATTCTGTAGGCTGAGCTGTGTGCACACATAGGTGTGGAGGCTGGAGGTCAATGTCAGCAGTCTCCTTTAACCGGCTGCTCATTAAACATGCAGCTTACTGACTGCCGGCTGGCTAACCTTGCTGGCCAATGAGCTCCAAGGATCCCCTTGTCTCCACCCCCACCCTCAGTGTTCCAGCATCCCCAGTGCCTGGCTTTTGTATGGGTCCTGTGTTTTTTACAGCTGGGCTTCATCCACTGAGCCAGCTCCGGTGGGTGGAATTCCCAGGCACTTGCTAACCCTTGACCCTCAGGCTCCTCTTTTAAGGGGAAGACAAGCTTCAGGCATTGGTGGCCCACGCCTGTAATCCCAGCACTCAGGAGGCAGAGACAGGAGGATCTCTGTGAGTTCGAGACCGACCTGGGCTTCAAGATCTAGTTCCAGGGCAGCCTCCAAAGCCACAGAGAAACACTCTCTTGAAAACAGAATAAACAAACAAACAAAAAAAACAAGGGGAAGACAAACTCCCGAGGGACCTGAGATCCCAAAGGTGTACTGCAGGCACTACAGCAGGACAGAGACTGGCTTTGGACCCTGGCTTCCCACCTGCCCGGCCTCTGCTCACCTCCTCTGCCCGCTGGGCCTGAGGGTGGTTGTCCAGAAAGGTGCCCTCAAGGACAGAACCCACGATGGTCAGGCCCTTCCCGGCCTTGAGCTGGGAGGTCAAGGACAGCAGCTGGGGATGCACCACGTTTTGATCCTGGTCCACACGCACCAGCACCAGGAGCTGGGGCCTGAAGAGGGTGCACGGTCACGTGACCCACCACCTCCCAGTCACCCACCCTCCCACCACATGACAGACCTCAGTTTACCCATATGCCCGCACACCTGGGCCCCATCGACCATAACCTGCTGGGCCACAGCGACCATTTCCTTGAGTAGTCAGCCCTCCAACCATCTCCCACACCTCTCCATCCATCCATCCACCCACCCATCTCTCCATCTCCCCCATTCATGTATCCATTCAGCCACCCACTCATCCATTCCAGCCTTCAGTCATCCAGCAATACCCAGATGAATTTACCTACCAGGCATTATTCACTCAGTCGCCCACACGTCCACCCACCTGCTCTCCATTCACACATCCATCTATTCCCCCGGATAGACTCCCATGTGTATGTGCTTATCCATCCATCCTCCCAGCCATTCACCCATCACTTCTCCATACAGTCAGCATCATGTTCCCTCAACTCTCCATCACTTTCATAGAGTTCACCAAGCAAGTACCTATTCTGGGCTGGACCTGGGCTGACCACTTGAGAATTTACAGGCACTGTCAGGTCCAGTGATGGGAGCCCCAGGTTAGTAACATGTCCATTATTTAGACTTCCATCCTGACCCTTGGTGAAACCAGGGGACAGATGTCAAGCTGAGTGTGTACTTAGGAAGTCCCTAACCTAAGGACAGAAGGGGGAAATTCCACAAGGCCTAGGGCCCCTCATCTTCAGTAGAAACATTGTCATCAGTCTGGAGTCTCCTATGCAACCCTATCACTCTCACTCTGAAAGCAAGAGAGCCGACTCAGTGTTGTCTTTCTGCCTCGCTCTGTGCATCTCCACAGATCTGTGAGCTGGCAGTACCCCCAGAGCTAGGAAGGGGGTTGGCCATACAACATGAGTTTGAGGATTTTTTCACAAGTAATGGAATGATCAAATAGACAAGCACATGGTGAATAGATTTGGAGAACAAATGTCTGGAACTCAGTTGATCATAGTGTTATAGGAGGGGTCAGGCAAGGCAGGGTTGGAGAAAGGTACCACTCAGCCAGAGTCAGACGGATGAATTAGGTCCCTGCTCCCTTGCCATCCCACCCTGAACCCTCCCCAGGCGCCCTCACCACTCACCTCCAGTTCTTGGTGTGCGGAGGCCCTTCCTCCAGGCGCAAGAGAGCGTAGCGAGCAGCGCTGAGAGACAGGCCCCGGATCCCATCGCCCCACTCCTTCTCTGCCCTGGAGACCAGGAAGGGGATCACATGAGTCAGGAAACAAGGGTGGCAGGGGAAAACATCCCACAGATCTGGTTGTTCCAGAGCACAGCCGTCTCTCCCATGTTGCCCTTGCCTCCTGACTTAGTCAAGCTGTAATCGGTCCCTTTGAAATCACTCCTAAATCTAGGTGCTCTCTTGCATGTTTCTCAAGGCATCATCAGCCTCATCTCCAAACCTACCCCATATCATCCCTTTCTCTGCACTCCAGCCCTGGATCATCATGCAATCAGCCCTGTCTGCTCTCAGCCTTCCAGCCTCCTCCTGGCACTTACCCCCGGTACTCGATGTACTTATAGATGAGGCCAGCGATGAGCATGGCTACCAGCGCGTAATACCAGGAGCAAATGAACATGAGGGCCAGGCAGAGGCTCATGCCCAGGAAGGAGAGAGTCCTGGAAAATGAAGAGAACACAGTCCCTGAACCCTTTGCAGGGTTGATTATGATGTCTGGGCTTGGGCAGCAAGAGGAGGATAGCAGGCAAGGCCTGGGCAAGACATGGGAATCTAGATTTAAATGCCACACTGTTGTCACCCTGAGCACCTGCAGACATGGTGCTTTCTAAATAAACAAGTAGCTATAAACAGGACACTGTTCCATGTCCCCACCTGACTCCAGAGTCACTACCCCATCTAGTTTCTGTCCCTTAAACCCTGCCAGATAACTTCAAGTAGATGGGTTCATATGGTTTCTGAGACAGCGGTCCATGAGCACTGGAAGCAGAACTTTCCAGAAAAAAAGGCCAGCAGCAAGAGGAGCCCTAAGACCAAAAGCAGGTAGCTTCCATCAAAGTACATTATCCTTATGAGTGACAGCAGCACACACCTTTAATCCCAGCACTCGGGAGGCAGAGGCAGAGGCAGGTGGATCTCTGTGAGTTCAAGGCCAGCCTGGTCTACAGAGCTAGTTGTAGGACAGCCAGGGCTACACAGAGAAACCCTGTCTTAAAAAAGAAAAGGAAGTCTATTATCTCATAGTCTTATGGGTGGCCATGGGCCGGCCACCTGCTGTGAACTCAAGTTTCCCCTTGTGGGGCAAGCATGGTTCTGCCTGTCACAGAAGAAAAGTCACAGAGTCACATAGTAAGGAGAGTTTAGCCCCATCGAGAGGAAAATCCTCTCTACATCACCTACCATGCTCACCAGAAACCCAGTAGGGAGTGAGGCTATTTTTCCCATTTCCCAGCTGAGGAAACTGAGGTCCAAAGAGTCTCCATCATCAGTCCAAGCTCTCGGAGGCAGGAAGTGGAGAGTTGGGCTGTGAATTTGAGTCCATCTGACTCTAACCTCCACACTGTAGTACAAGAGGTTTAGCTTTGCAGACAAAGAAGAGATGGCCACTGAGGCTGTTTCTGACCGTGACCATAAGACCCTCCCTATGACCATCCTCGAGCTATCTGAATGCAAAAGCTGGAGAGGAAACACCCTGCTTGAGGACCTCCGATCTGAAGTGCGGCTCAGGACAGATGAGAAATAGCTCTGTGGGAAGGGGTGAGGAAATGGGCCCCCACCAGTGGTAATAGCGAAAGCGTGGCCTCCAGTTGGGCGTCCTCAGCAGCGTCTGCACCGCACATGCCAAGTTCACAAACATGTAACACATCAGGAAGAACCTAGAATGGGAAAGGGTTCAGGTGAGGCAGATGCAGGAAGATGTGCAGAAAGAGAAACGGAGACGTGCAGAGAGAACAGGACATGGAGGAAAGAGAAGGGAGGAGGAGAAGAGAGACTCGCCAAGGGCCAAGTCACATTGAAAAGCTAGACCTCACGGCACACCCTGATGTGTGAGGGCAAGTCTATACGACAGTGATGGGCTTCTGCGGCCACCGGGGAGCTTCCTGGGGTTATTAAGATGACAGTGGAGGGACCCAGGAAGAGAGGCTCATGGGGTCAATGGGTGGGTTCCAGGCCTAGCACGCACATGGAAAGGATGGGGGCGACCTCATCCAGGGAGGCGATGAGGATGCCAATCTCACAGATGCAGGCAGTCAGCAGCAGGGCCCAGGTCGGCTCTCCATTGGCTTTGCCATGGCCAAAGACCTGGGAACAGAGCAGTCATCGTGGGGGACTGAAGCCTTCAGTCTTGGGGACCAGGAGAATAGAGGCAGGACTCAAAACCAGTGAGGGGGTAAGGAGAGGTGACTGTGTTCTGCTTCCTCTAGGGAACCCAAGGGAACATCCAGCTCTCTCTGTTCTCACCCACCCTACTGCTGTCCTCCTGCAATAACTCTGAAATGAGCCCCAGAGGGAAAGAGGCTCCTGAGGGACAGGAGAGATGTGTCTGTTTGCTCTGTGGATTTTTTTTAAGAACCACAGAAAAATACAGCCTTTTCTGGGTCTGTTGCTGGCTCTGAGTCCCCAACTGCCCCCTAGGCTGGAGAAGAGCCATCCACTTTTCCTCTAAGAGTGGATAGTTTTCAGGGAACTCAGGCCAAATCCCGAATATGGCCCTTTCTTTTGTAGTGCAGCTGTGGAGCAATACCTAGCAGAGAGCTCAAGGATGCTGGAGCCCTGGTTCAGTGTCTCCTGGGCAGGGGCCCCAAAGACTGACTATTGCGTGGGGTGGCCTGCCACACTGACCTGCAAGAAGGGCACTATGCCATCCCGGGAGATGGCCTGGAGCAGGCGTGGGGCCCCTGTGAGGCTCTGTAGTCCAGCCCCACAGGTAGAGAAGAAGGAGCCGATGACAATGACCCAAGGAGATGGCCAGGCCAGGGTGCCCACCACCAGGTTACCATTCACAGCTTCCCCAAACCTGGAAAGAGATAGTAAGGGGCAGAAACATTGGGTGAGCAATGCCACCTGGATTCCAGAGCAGCTTGCTCCAGACCAATGCCATGCCCAGCAGGATGCTGACTAGCAGCTTGCCCCAGACCAATGCCACGCCCAGCAGGATGCTGACTACAGGGTTAGGCTTCACAGTGTCAAAGGAGATACAAAACCAAGTATCGTTGTTACTTCCTGTCTGTGCAACCTTGATCCTCTTCTGCTGAGAATCTCCATGAGCCTACCTCACAGAAATGGCGAGAGAATAGGAGACATAACGTGAGAACTGCCCAGAACAGGGTAGGAACACCATTTTAATACACAATTGTTAACATGATGATCCTAAGAAAATCAGTTGGCATCTCCACATGAAAAATGGGGGCTGTGGCTTCATGGTGTGCTGATGGTGTAAGAATCAAAGGGAAAGGGCCTGCAGGATGGCCTACCTGGGAAGGGACACTTGTCACACCCATGACCCCCATGGTGGAAGGAGAGAAGTGACCCCACAAGCTGCCTTCTGACATTGACATGTGCACTAATGGCACAGAGATGCACACATGCACACGCGCGCGCGCACACACACACACACACACACATACATCCATACAATAAATTAACGTTTAAAAAATAGAAAAAATCAGGCCGGGCTTGGTGTCATACACTTTTAATCCCAGTGTTTGGGAGACAGAGGCAGACAGATCTGAGTTCAAGGTCAGCTTGGTCTACAGAGTGAGTTTCAGGACAGCCACGGCCACAAAGAAACCCTGTCTCAAAAAAAAATCAAAAGAAAGAATTTTATATCAATGCTATTGTCTTAAAATGGAAATGTAGTGGCATGAGCCCCCCCGTCCCAGCCACGTGTAAAGCTGAGGCAGGAGACCTTCGTGAGCCCAGGAATCCCAGAGCAGCCTGAGCAGTGTAGCAAGACCCTACCTCCAAAAGAGGGGAGGGGTGGACTAGATGGCTCAGCTGTTGAGAGCACTGGTCACTCTCCCGCACCCACATGACAGTTCACAGACTGCCTGAAGCTCCAGTCCCTGAGGATCCAGCACTCACTTCCGGCCTCCGTGGACACCAGGCATGCAGGTGGTGCTCAGACATACATGCAGGTAAACACTCATACACATTAAATACAAACAAATGTCTTTAAAAGGTGAAAGAAAGAAAAGTAAGGGGAGAGAAGGGAGGTAGAGGAGAAGGGAAAGATGGGAGATGCTGCCTTTCCTGTCCCTGGAGATGTGCTCAAGGGACCACTGGTGAGATGCTTCAAACACCAGGCTAAGAGTGGGGATGAAGGAACTGTGGACCCTTTGGCAGCCTCATGAGAGGTCTATGACTAAATGAGATGCATGGAGGTCAAACTACTCTAAAACTGCCGGGCGTTGGTGGCACACGCCTTTAATCCCAGCACTCCGGAGGCAGAGGCAGGCGGATCTTTGTGAGTTCGAGACCAGCCTGGTCTATAAGAGCTAGTTCCAGGACAGCCTCCAAAGCCACAGAGAAACCCTGTCTCGAAAAAAAAAAAACAAACTACTCTAAAACAGTCATAGATGCAAATTCTTCAAACCCGAGTTTGATCCCTAAAATCTACAGTGGAGAGAGGGAACCAACACTTCTTCTCTAACCTCTATGCATGTGCCATGGCACACACACACACCTGCATACATGTGCGTGCACATGTGCGCACACTCACACACACTAAATATTTTTCGAGATAGGTCTCTTTACACAACCCTTGCTGACCTGGAACTCACTCTGCAGATCAGGCTGGCCTCGAACTTACAGAGATCCGCCTGCCTCTACCTCCCAAGTGCTGGGATTAAAGGTGTGCGCCACCACAACTGGCAATAAATAAAATTTTAAAGACAGTGGGAAGGAAGACTAAGGCAAACATCTCTCGGAATCTGTATGGGGTGGGCCCCTGCTCCCAAGATACCAGATTCCTTGGTGCTCACACCTTCAAAAAGTGACACAGTATGCACCAGCAGGCACACAGTTTCCGGAAGATTCAGAATCGTGTCTGGTGACTTACAACCCCAATACACTAGAAGTCTGTGGACCTGGCTGCCACACTGTATTGTTTAGGGAACATGACCATGGAAAGTCTACACTGGCTGTACTTCCAGAGGACCCAGGTTCAGTTCCCAGCATCCAGATGGCAGCTCACAACTGTCTGTAACTCCAGTTCCAGGGGACCTGACACTCCCATGCAGGCAAAACACATATGCACATAAGTAATAATAATTTTTTAATTCTACAAAAGCTGAGCTTTCATCAAATGCTTTTGAGCTGTGGTTGGTGCAGGACAAATTACAATGTACAAAAAAACCCTTCCTGCTTTTCCTCAGAGGGTTGTATGCTGAAGTCCTTCAAATGCCTGATGAAGCTCTGAGGAGAAGGAACTGCTGGACCCTGGCATTCTCGTGGGAGGACTATGATTAAAGGAGATAAATGGAAGCCAAACTACCCTAAAACTAGCAGTAATGTGTTCATTAATGTATTCGTTAATATGTTAATTAATGTATTCACTAATGTGTTCACTTGACTGGGTCACACTGAACCCCACCATGTGCTCTCTGTAGCCCTGTTATATATTTTTAAAAAAACACACAAAACCTGTGTTACTCTTTGCTTCCTTCAGAATGTTTAAGACAATGAACAATACACAGAAGTGCTAGGTGAATGAATGCATGGATGAATGAATGAATGAATGAACAGATCATAAATAAATATGTCACCATCCCAAACCAAAGGAGACATCTTTTGAGCCTCTTAAGGTTAAGTGACAAAGATAAAATATTCAATAAGAAGAAAACGAGTAGATCAACAAATATCATGGTCTCTCGCCCAGTGGCCCCTCTCTCAGGTCCCCACCGTCCTGCCAGCTCTGCTTCTTCCTCAGCCCACCCCTCCTCCAGGACAAAGTCCATTCCCCTTCCTTCACTTACTTGTCCCGCAGGACGACCCCCTCAATGCAGGCCCCGAACAGAACAACAGAGCTGATGTCTAAGGCAGAGAATGAAGGAGAATCTCTAGCATGGTGATACCCTACCAGCCACCCATCCTGAGTCACCCGAGAAGGTAGCAACCTCCATGCCACCCGCAGTACCACACACACACACACCAGGAGTGGACACACCCAGCTGTGCAGGATACAGACAGCAGAGGTGGTGGCAATGGCCAGAATGGTTCCAGTAGGGATGGATTTCTGGGCATCCCGCAGGTCTCCAGACCGGTTTGAGCCAGCCATGATTCCTAGAGGTGGGAGAGCAGTTCAGATAGAAGCCAAGGCCATTGAGGAAAAGACGCATATTGGAGTCAGGAGTCTGGTACCTCGCCTTGCCACACAAGCTATCTGTTTTGATCCTGATTCCTTCCTCGATCCCATAGGTCCCAAACAAGGATTCACCACTGCTTAGGTGGCAGGGAGAGCCATTAGTCTTGTCTCCGAGCCTCCTATCCACCCTCTCCCAGGCACAGAACTCCCTCTCCGAGCTCTGGCTCACCTGTGACTGAGGGGAAGTAGATGCCAACGAGCAGAGTGAAGTAAGAGGTCATGTCACTGAAGACATAGGGGTGGTCCATGTCGACGGGGGTGCCATCTGTCAGGCCCACTGAGGGCATGCCACGCCTCTCCACGATCACCCCCTTCGTCAGGTAGGAACTCCACAGGTTCTCTGTGTGAATATGAGACACTCAGGGAGGTGACCAGAAGTTGGGGATCAGAGCTTAAACCAGGAGGGATGGGAAGCAAAGAGTTAAGACCAACCAAATCTCATTCACACCCACAACTGGTCTTTCACACCCACCATTTCCCAAACTCCTGCCTTGTGCCATAGTGTGCACACCGATTTCAAAGCTGAATGGGACTGAGTCTGTGCTCTTACGTAGTCCAATCTCGTGGGACAGATGCAGAAAGTCCTCCCTGAGCCTGCCTGTCCCCAGTTGACCTCATCTGCTCTCATCTTGGTGATGGCACTAGCATCAATTAATTCAGACACCTTGGCATTGCTGTCAACTGCTTCTGTTCCCCTGCTTCAAAGCCTTTCAACTTCTGCCCATCACCACTCATTAATATTTCTCAAACAAGCCTTTTCATCCCACTCCAGGGCTCCTCCACCCCACACCAGTGGCAGGTGAGGTAGATGAATCTGCTATGGCGGGGTAGCAAACAGCACTAGAGTGTTAGGCAGACACCTGTCATCTATACACTAAATGTCAGCAGCATCCCTCCAGTGTTGCTCCTGTTTTATGCGCATGGGTGTTTTATCCGCATGCATGTCTGTGAACCTCATGTGTGCCTACTGCCTGCAGAAGCCAGAAGGCATCAGGTCCCCTGGAACTGAGTTACAGATGGTTGTGAGCCACCATGTGGCTGCTGGAATCAAACCTAGGACCTCTGGAAGCGCAGCAAGTTCTCTTCACCTCTGAGCCATCTCTCAAGCTCCAATCCCTCTAGTCTGATGACCAAAAAATATCTCAAGGGACCAGAAAGATGGCTCAGTGAGTAAAGGCACCTGCTGTAAAACCTGATAATCTGGGTTCAATTCCAGAGACCCACATGGTGGAAGGAGGGAACAGACTCCAACAAGATGTCCTGTGGCTTCTATATGCACATGGCATGCATGTACACACACATATAAACATGCAAAATAAAATTGTGTGTGTGTGTGCACGCGCACAGAGAGAGAGAGAGAGAGAGAGAGAGAGAGAGAGAGAGAGAGAGAGAGAGAGAGAGAGAGAGAGATGGCCAAACACTTCCAGGGCAGAAGAGCAGCTCTAGTTGAGAACCCCTACTCCATTACTGCTGAAACCATCACTGTTTCTCAGAAAGATGCCATCTTTCTCCTGGGCTCACAGCATCTGCACCCCCACTGCCTTCAACATGCAAACCAACCTCCTCAGCAAGGCTTCCAGGGCCTGCCATGGTCTGGCTTGTGCTACCCTCTGTAGCACCATCCCTTGTCATTTTAATTTGTACATTGCACCCCGAGTCACACCAAATGCATTGTGGTCAGAAGGACAGGCCACACGCATTAAGCAGGCTGTTCTTTGATTTTAATTCCCATATCCAGTCTCTTGCTTGTCCTCCAAAGTTTCCCTTGTCAAGTGCAGGAAGCCTTGTTCTTGTCACCTGATACATATGAATGCTGTGTCTCCTCACGTCTCTCTGCTCAGTGAATACACATCTCTGTGGAACATAATCTATTACTAACACATTGATCTGTCACTGAATCTCTAAGGCCAAGTCCTGAGACTGTGTGTGTTGTGGTTCCAGTGCTTCAGCACGGTGTTAAGTAGATGTTTATTAGACCGGCTCTCTTTCTTAATAACAGTGAGGCACATTCCACTCTGCCTCTCCATGATACTTAGGACAGAACCTGGTCTACCCAAGATGCTTAATTAAAGCTGACTGAATGGAACTGAATCCCAAGGAATGCCCCTAACCCTGACAGCTTAACCAACAATCCCTGAAACACTCCATAGATATCACCCCATTCTCTCTCTCACACACACACACACACACACACACACACACACACGCACGCACGCACGCATGCACACCTTTGATGAGGCCACTGGCAGCACCAGGAATGCCTTGGATCTCTGTGACATTGTTTCGGGTAAAGTACTCATCGCAGGTGGCGTTGAGGAAGCGGGAGGAACAGAAAAGGCCCCAGAGCTGTGTGGTCACTGTCTCATTTCCTTCCCAAGCCAGCTTGGAACACACATCAAAGCCATGGCGAGACAGTGTGCGGTTCCCCAGGAGGCAGATCCTAGGGAGAGAAGCAAGCAAGGGAGATGGGAGGGACAAAACCTCTCCCTGGTTTCACAGCAGAACCACTGGCAGTTTTAAAGATGCAGATTTTGGGGTCCCACATCCAGGGATTCTGATTCTGTCTGGGGTGTGCCCATCGGAGTTTCTATAACATTTCCCAAGCCAGTCAAGCGTGCAGACAAGATGGAGAGCTAGCCTGTGGGTGCTGTTGAGTTCAGCACCGTGGACAGCAGCCTTTGAGCCCCATCCTCTGCACTAAGGAGATTCTACTAAAGGAGCAAGAGAACCAAGGGGACCTGAACCCTGGGCTCTCTCTTCTGGGTTCTTTCCCATCCTGGAGAAGGTGCTAAAAACTAAGACTGTCCATTCCAGGAGGTTGACCCATCCACAAATTTCCCCACCACACAGGGTGTATTCCTTCAGAAGCCATTTCTATTTTATGTTCCCAAGTCCCCACCAGCAAGCATGTGACACACTCAAGGGAACTTCTTCCCACCACTAAAACTGTTATCCCATGCTGGATAAATTTCCCTAAATAGGAAACATTTGTCCTTCCAGGGGATGTTGCTCCCAACCCACACACTTCTGGTTCTGAGGGGTGAAGAGAGAGGGGACCTGGTAGAAACTCTTACTATGCAGACCTGAGCTGGGCCAGTGAGGCCGTAATACTGTAGACTCAAAAGACAGCACTCACGGGAAATTGGGTGGGTCGAAGGCAGACTTGATGACCCCTGCATAGATGGCCAGGATGGAGAGGATGACACAACCCAGGAAAACCAGGGCAAACTTGTTGACGTACTTGACACCCACAAAGACAACAGTGGCCATGCAGGTAAGTACACAGGTGCCATACACCCGCATATTGTTCAACATGGCTGCTGCCTCCCCACTGGCATCTTCTGCCTTGAAGATGGCCATGGCTGGGAAGAGATAAGCCTGCAGAAAAGGAGCAAAGGAAGCCAGATGGGTGACCCAGGAAAGTCCAACAGAGACTCACCCCAGGGAAATGGACTCCGAGGAGGGAAATGGATCCATTAACAGTGCACTGCTAAAAAGGTCTCCTGCAATGTGAGAGAAGCTTCCTCTGTTATAACTATTAGATACATGTTACTTTTATTATTTATGATATAGAGGTGGAAAAAACAGACGCTTATCCCTAGAGGCTAGGTAAATAAATTCTGATATTTCTATTTAAGCTACAAAACTATTTTAAAAGATGGCATGGGTCTGTGTCATGGCTCAGTGATGGAAAATACATTCAAATGAACACAAGCCCTGGGTTCAATCCCCAGCAGTAAGGGCAGAAAAGACATGAATTTATATGGATGGACTAAAAAACTATCCATGGTAGGCACGGTGGTACAGATTTATAATCCCAAACTATGGCAGGAGAATTTGAAACCAGCCTGAACTACATAGCAAGGCCTCATTTCAAGAGTTTAAAAACTACGCATAGTGTATTGGGTAAATAAAGTCAAGTTTTAAAAAATGATGGATCTTATGATCTCATATTTATTAATTTATATGTGGAGATATTTACTCATTGTGCTTGTATTGTTGTAGATGTGTTTGCAGGGATATCCAAATATCAGTGGTACCAGGCATGTCTGTATTCCAAGCACTCAGGAGACTGAGGAAGGAGAGTCAACAGTACTGAGCAAGCCTGAACCTGTCTTATGAAACAACAAGCCGGGTGTGGTGGCACATGACTTTAATCCCAGCAGGAAGAGGTAGGTGAACCTCCGAGTTCGAGGCCAACCTGGTCTACAGAGTGAGCTCCAGGACAGCTAGGGCTATACAGAGAAAACTTGTCTCAACAAAAAAAAAAGGAAAGAAAAGAAAACAGCAACAGCAAAAAAGGACAACAGAAGTTTTATTGAATAATTAAAATGTGATGTCTTATATATTCATATTTTAAATGTCTACATTAAATTTAAAATGCTTATACTTATTTAGTTACTTTTTATTTATAAGTAAAGGGAGCTTTGGGTTCTTAAGGAAATATTTCCAAGTGGAGTTGTGTTTTACAAAAACAGAACAAAGCATCATATAGAAGAACAGAAATGTGAGAGATACACGCTAAAATGTTTGTGATTTTCACTGGGTCATTTTTTTCCTTACTTTGTTACTGTGGGCAGAACTGTTTGATAATGCATCTAGAAATGCCATAAGTTACAGAGGTTCACAGAGCCCACACCAATGTGCCCCCTCAAGCCCCCAACCCCTGATTTCTTCTCTCCTGCCACCAAACCAGGAGCTCTGACTCTGTTAGTTTTGGTTCCCTAAGATCTTGGGAGACAGTGGACAAGCACAGACTCTGGAAGCCAGGCAGATGAAGGTTCACACCCCTCAACATGTTCCTGAGACTCTCTGACCTGGCCCTCCTCATCTGTAAAATGGCCATCTTCTAAAATATGAGAGATTCATGAAATCTTAGGGCTTGTGGAGGATAGGAGGTGGGAAAGGTTAGCTCCTCTTTTTCTTCTCCTTTCATTTGTGACAAGATCTCTTGCAGTCCTGACAGGCTTCAAACTCACTATGTCCTGAGGGTGATCTCATACTTATCATCCTCCTGCCTCCACCTCCCAGGGTTAGAAAGTTTATACAGCGCTGAGAAGCAATGCCATGGTTTGGAGCATCTAAGCCACTAAACTGCACCCTTTCCTTAAGCTAAGGGTCCCTCATCCGCACCCACCCAATCAGGAAGAACAGGAGGTCTAAGGCATCGCCCTGTCCTTCAGACACAGCCCAGACACCTAGGGTGTCTCCTATCGGATCTCTCTACACGGGTCCCTCATGGTTCTCTTTTACAATCTAAGAACCATCTATCAGGGCTCTGCAACTAACATCCAAAGAGTGCTTCCCACCGTCCCTGGAATGTGGCAGGCTCTCATTATTCCAGCTGTTATTTTAACTCTTATCAACCCACACCTCTGCCAGCTTGCCCATAGCTGAGTGACCTTGAGCCAGTGATCTATCTGCCTTTTGGAACTTCTCATTTGTAAAATGCCATCATGATACTTAAACCTCTAAGGATTCAAGATAATGACTGCAAAGCACTTGGAGCTATGCTGAGAACTCAGTGGGTGCCTGATAAACCACAGCTGTTTGTGTTACATAATTATTGTATCTTGTCTCCCCAGCCAGACTGGGGACTCTTTCGAGACAGACCACATCCGACTTCTCTCTGGCCTTAAGCAGTGGCCTGGCCTACAGCAGGTGTCCAGGGAACACTGGTTAAGAGGCTGACAGCCCGGGACCCCACTCCTCCTCCTCTCCCCCTCTCACCAGCAGGATCTCGATGGTGCCCAGGATGTACATAGCCCCAGCAAAGGTAGTGCCCAGGTAGAAGCAGAGGCCCACGGCGCCCCCAAACTCTGGGCCCAGAGACCTGGAGATCATGTAGTAGGAGCCACCAGCTGCAGAAAAAAACTACTATCAGCGAGAGGATCAGAGGGCCCTGGACATCCCTGTGCTGAGCAAGCTTAGGGACAGAGGGCAGAAGACAGTTTCTCTAGACCTCAGGCTGCAGCCCCAGAAAGGAGACTACGGGAGATTCAGCCAACCACTCCGCATGGAGTTTGCAGCAGTAATTATTACCATTTTGCTAATTACCTCTGAAAGGAGGTCATGGCTCAGAAAATAGGATGGTAGAGAAGAGGGTCTTGGACTGAGTGGGGGAGAAGGTTATCATTGCCCTATTCAACACCAATATCTGCCTCCTTCCCAATCCCCAACAGGCTCACCCCTACCTACCTCTTGGCCTGCAATACTGTCTTGGGTCTTGGGTCCCGAGGGTCCACAAAGCCTGGCCCTCTGTTCCCCCTATCAAGCATCAGGCCCCTGGCCCTCCCCCACTCTGCAAAGGCCCCAGTCACATACCAGGTACAACACCATTGGTTGCAATCGCGCTCATGGAAATGGCTGTGAGCATTGTCTGTAGGAAAGAGATCATCAGAATGGTGGCTGCTGGGGGCTGCAGTGGTCTGGCTGGTGGCCAAGTCAATATACCCAACAGCCACCAGCCAAACCCACAGGCTCTCCTCTCCTGAGCTTCTCTCTGGGTCTGTTCCAACTTCTACTCATGCCAAGTCCGTCTCAAAGAATACCCTCTTATTTACCACGAAGATGGGAGGAACTACCATGCCAGAGAACTCCTGTCACTCCAGTTTGGCCCCTAGGTAACTTATGACCAAAGACAATTCACCTCTCAAGCCTTGGTATTCGCAAATATAGAATGAGAGGCGTAGCTTCAGCACTTGCATCTTCACATGCAGAGTGGTCTCCAAGTTATGTGTGAAGACACAAGAATATGAGTTTGGTGTTCAATAGAAATTGGATTTTTTTTCAACGTGGACAGGAAGAATCTAGTTGCAAGGTTCTCTGTGAGACATAATCTCATTTTTTTGTGAGTAGGAACCTTCCAAAATGTTAACTCTTATGCAATTATGTTGAATTTTGTTTTGTTCTCTGCATTTATCATCTTCATCAATGATTCTGCAGTACTTGTGTAAGTACATGAACACACACATGTAGATTCAGTCGTCAGAGAGAAGCCTATGGGATTCAGGAAGGACCAGTCAAGCCTAACTTACTTTCAAGGATCATAAGTAGTGACTCGTATAAAAAGCTCAGGTCTCGTGCTTCCTTCCCACCACCCACCCCAGGCCTCGAACCCCAGCCGTCTTCACTGAGCAGGGGTGGGGGTCACTCACACAGGAGCAGCAGATGAAGACCATACAGAAGGACTCCATGATGCCTGCAATGCCCACCACCCAAGTGAGCCGCAGGAAGAGGATGACGCCGAAGATGTTCTGCAGGCAGGGGAGGTACACGCCCATGAAGGTGCCCATGCGTGGGGCCTGCCAGAGAGGCCAGCGGTCAGTCCCGACACCCTGCGCATTACCAATAGGCCACGCCTCCTCCACGTTCCTTCCCTGCCTCTCCTCGCCTGCACTTTCCCTCCCTTCATCACTCCTCCTGTTTCTCCATCCTTTTCCTCCTTCCTACCAGCCTCCAGATCTCTCCCCTTTGCCTCCCTCCAAACACCTCCTTCTTCCTCTCCTCCATCTCCATCCTTCCCCTCCCATTCCAACACAGCCACCGCCCTCCTCCTTTCCTCCCTACCGTTCGCTCCTCCATCCATCCATTTCCCTCTCCCATCCCTTCTCCCCCAAGGCCCCACCTGAACTGGCTTCTTTTTTCCACCCTCGTTGTTCTCTGCTTCTTCGTGCTCTCTACTGCCCTGGGGCAGGTTGGTGTAGTTAGCCAGCCCGCTGAGCAGGGAGGACACCATGGGGCTGGTGTCCATCTCCTCCTATGGAGGAAAGGGGTCGATGTTAGGGAGCCGGAAGGTCAAGGCAGCAACTGGAGTGAGCTGGATGTAGGGGATGGGGACAAAGTTCAAGCCACTGAGTTTGGGATGCGATGGGAACCGAGGAAGAGGAAGCAGAGGGAAGGAGAAGGAGGCGGTGAGAAAGGAGAGGAGAGCAGGGGACCATGAGGTAAAGCCAGGAAAGACCAAGGAGGGCTGTGGAGGCCGGGGAAGATGGTGGACCTGAGGGAAGAATGGAGAGGCGTCTCCTCTTCCCGAGGGAGGGAGGGAGCACTGATGAGCCAGCGTGACTAGCTGTAGCCCAAGCAGCCCACCTCAAACAGGGCCATGTTCTTGCCATCATACTCCTTTCCCTTCTCTGTGTCGGTGCTGTTGATGAAGGGACTGCTCTCCTTGGGATTGCCATCACCTGAAAAGAGGAGGAGTCGGGTGTGACACAGTCACTTGTTCCCTATCCATCCTGACTATAGCTATGTGGTCCCTTTAATGCCTGCAGCCTCAGGTCATGTGCTGGAGAAAACTGGGCTTGTACTGCCTTCTTGCATGATTTTAGCAGCATGGATGAAGAACCCAGTTTCCTACTGGCTGTTCTGAGTGCCTGATGAAGTGTATGCCCTTCTCTGTTCTTGAGATCCGATCCTAGTTCATCTACCATGACACCTTAAGAATCTCCAGAATTCTCCTCTTGGATACAAATGAACCCATCTTAGTATGTGGGTGGATGTGTGATTTTTTTATAGGGAAGACAGCAGAGAACCCTGCAACCTGAACGCCTAGGGATACCCTTTTGGCTCCCCGTTTCACTGTCATTCTACCGTGTGCCAATAGAATAGTCAGAGGAGGAACCGAACAGCCTAAAACACTATCGCCGCCCTTAGAGACCAAACCAACGCCAGGGAAGAAGCAGCAGACAGGACTGCTAACATCTGTGAAAGAAACGGAACATCGGGGATGCGAGAGGGCATGCAGCCCAGCCTGAGAGGGCACAGAAGGCTTCCCAGAGGAAGTGACGCGTCAGCTGAGAACTGAAGGATGAGTAAGGGCTAGACTGGGAGGGTGGCAGGAGGGTGTTCCAGGCGGAGAGAACCCAGAACAGCGTGTTTGGTGTCCCAGATGTGGAAGCCAACAGCAGAACAGGTTATTGCTGAATGAAGCATGATCTAGCTAGGGTCTTAAGAGGGGGCATATTGGGGCTTGGGAATGAACAGCGGCTTGGGGGAAGATGACTCAAGGTAGTGTGAGCCTTAAAGAAGTGCCAGGCCATCTTGAAGAGCTTGGACCCCATCCAGAGGACAATGGACAGTCATTGAAGTTTCAGGCCCAAGAGTGTCATGACCTGACTTGAATATTGCAGCAAGCCTTCTGGCTTCAGGTGAGAAAACACAGCAACTAGAGCATTTCCATAATCCAGACGACAGCTGACAATGACCTAGGTCACAGCAATATGGGGCAATGGAAAGACTCAAGCACCAAGCATTATGGAAGCATTGCTGTGCCAGATGTCTGGGGAGGGGGAAGGGATAACGCCTGGGGTTCCTAGCATGGGTCAATGAGGGGGACGATGTTACAGCTTAATGAACTGAAGTGCAGAAGGCAGGAGTGTGGGGTGGGGAAGAGGCTGAATTTAGCCAAGGGTCGTCCATTGCAGGGTCCAGAAGCTTCCTGGGCACGAGAAGGGAGTGATGCCCATAAAAGATACTGCACACCAGAAGGGCCCCAGGGTAACTGCACACCTCCTTGGCTTGGCACATTTGCTATGCAGGTTTGCATGGTTACCCCCGGCTTTCATGGGCATTGCTCCCTCCAAATGCAACAAGCCAAGGAGAAACTCTGTTGGTGCAGAGTTTCTGTGGTAATATTTTCATGGACAGTTCCAGTCACCAATGTCCTTCAGCACCAGGGCTGAAGTCCCAGCAGCAGACATCTTCCTGGATTCCGGGGAGAAACACCATTGTCCAAGTTCCAAGAGAAGGTGAGGCCCTGTGGCCCTCCAAGAGAAGGTGAGGCCCTGTGGCCCTGAATCTCCTACTCCTCAGCTTTTGTGTTCTTGCCTATGTAACATCTGCACCCTTCTCCCTGCCTCCTAGAACCTTCTCCAGTCACCCAGCCAGGGACCCCTTCCAAGAGCATGATGTGTCCCAACCTGTCTGAAAGTTGGGGGAGCAGCACCTGCTCCAAAAGACACCCACCTCCACCTTGCCCACTGAGGCAGAAATGCCTGGATGCCTGACCAGACCACCAGACATTCTCTCTTCTCACCCGGGTAAGTTCCTGGGAATAACAGGCCTATCCTCCCTATGACAGCCAGCATGTAATAGATGTTCAGAAAACAGTATTAGGAGGAAAATTCTGCGAGGCTTCCCTCTCAGACCTCAGAATCTGAAAAGATCTGTCTGGAATCAGAAAACCAGGAGAAATGAAAGGGTGATGCGGCCTGTCTTTTTTTAAATGTTGACCAGATGCCTTCTGTGCTTGTCACAAGATAATCAGGACTAGAAAAGCTAATGGGATGTAAGAGAAAATTCTCTAGTGGTTCAGGTAAGGGCTGAGCTTCACTGCCAGCCTCTCCAGCTCTGATTCCAGCCTGAGCAAGTCATTCTCCCCTTGCAAAAGGATACTAACTTGGTCTAACTCATAGGATGGCTATGGAGTCAACTGAAATAACATATACTATGTGCCTACCGCTACTATTGCAACTACCACTTAGCACACCTGGTACACATCCAGCCTGGACTCCTTATCTCGCATCCTTCCCTTAGCTGCAAGATTTAAGGGCTGCTCTGTAAGCTGGCTGCCTTTCTTAGATGCACCCTCTTTTAGGTCCCAGACCACTGTCAGAAGAGCCCCTCCCCTCTGTCTTCCACATCCGCTCTCAAGCCTTCCTTCTTTGCCGCAGCGAATGGCGCTTAACCAGCTGGAAGGGGGACATCCTGGCCGGAGACCCCGTAACTAGGAGGCCAGGCACCAGTCTCCATGGCGACAGCGCGGACCGACCGCGCAGCGCCGAGCCGGCCACGCGCCCGCCCGCAGCCGCTTATGTAACGCAGCGCGCAGAGCCAGACTACAGGCCCGAACCCGACCAGGAAAGGAGTGCAGGGGGAGGGGGCAGCTTGGTAGGCTTGTCCTAGGTCCCGCCTTTCCATCCGCTGCCTGGGCCAGACGCCAGGCTCCCGGCCTTACCAGCCAAGAGCTGATTTTGTCCCCAGCCTGGAATGCTGGGCTTACTAGTTAAGGGGGATGGGGAGTGAGCGTCTGCGTTCTCAAGGAGCAAGACAGCAAAGGGGAAACTCGTCCTGATTCCCCAGAGCCAGGAGTCTGGGTGTTGAGGGAGCACCTAGAGGTGCAAGAGGCAGGCCAGACCCAGGCTGAGCCGCCCCCGCCCCCGCCCCCGCCCCCGCCTCCGCCCCTATCCCCGCCCCCTGGGAGCTCTCAGCCTGAATCGGCTTTCAATTAAGCTGCCGAGGCCAGAGCTCGCCTGGAGGAAACAGGCGCTGGCTAAGGAGTCTCCCCCGGGGCCAGAGACTGGACCTATAGGGAATCCCCAGGGCAGCTTAGGGAGAGAAAGGGGTCGTCAGACCCCAAAGGTAAAGGAGATCTGAAAGCCAAAGACAATATCCTTGGGAATATTCTTTGGCCCAGAGGAGCCCTCAGATTCTCCCTGAGGTCAACACCCGACTCTTTCCATATAGTTCCAGGAATCTAGACTCAAGAGTCGGGGACTCAGTCCTTCTTTGCTCAGACTCAGGAAGTCTTTAGTGCCGCCTACCACCGTCACCAAGAGTCCAGGGGGAGACCTTCCCACTCTAGATGCAGACTATTTGACCAGGTTCTGACCACTCTAATTCCAAGTGCTGGAGTCTATATATAGAAAGAAAGTCTCCAGATGGGCCTGTTACACTTGGTGTCTAGAAATGAACAGTCCTGAGAACTGGAAAGAACTATTAGTTAGAACCCTGCTCCCACCATGCATGTGCCTCTTTACTGGGCCTTTGGCAACCCCAAAGAAACACAGAGGTCCAGTGAAGGTCGGTGGGGAAGCAGGTGCCCAGGAATCCTCAGAACCCATTCTGGGGAGCAGGGGTGTCTCATAGTGGAGGTATCTGAGGAGGATCCTGGGAGGAAGTGACATCCCTTTCCTTTGCTCCTGGAACACTGCTTCAAGATGCTTGGAGCTGCCGCAGACTAGACTTTTACAACCCCCTCCCCCTGCAGCCAAGGGAGCAAAGCCTGATGAGGTGACCCCCGGGTCACTGGAGAGATGGATGAGCTGCCCAGCAGTAGTTGTGTCCCCTGCATAGGACTCAGTCCCGTGGGGGAATGGGAAGGGGGTGTCGCTGACAAAGGACCAGGGATGCTGGTGCCCCCAGCCTTCCCACTGCTCCACTTGGCCCTGACTGTGATCCAAAATCAACGACCTCGACCTCGGAGTCAAACCTGCTAGTATCTAAGAGATCATGCTTTCAGTTCTTGTGGCCTTGGGCCATCTCCTGGGGAGGTCTGTGGGAGTCTCGGCCCCGAGGGTCAAGCAATGCCTAGGAGAACATTTGAAGGCTCTGAGATGCAGTAGTGCGCAGGGGACGCAGCGCCACTAAAGGGTGGGGGCTGGGGGCGGCTGACAGCCGTGATGGATGACTGAGACCGCTGGGGGGCGGCGAGGGGCCTGGGAGCCCGAGGGGGTGGCTGGCCCCAAGACCTTGGAGCAGAAAAAAAAAAAAAAAAACCCGGCAGTGAAGGATGACGGAGAACCGGAACAGCACCGATTTGCTCCAGAGCCCCTCAGCTTCTGGCAAGTCTCTGCACCCACCGCAGCGAGTCCGCAGTGTCACCACGGCGCTGGGAATTCAGCTGCTGGGACCCCGTTTCTGAGGCCTCACTAAGATAATTAAGAGAGCTAACTATAAAGACTTCCCCTGCCCCGCCCTGAAAACCACACTGCTGCCCCGGGGTACCAAGAGAAGGGGGAAAGAGGGAAGCAGGGATCTTGCTTCCTGTCCTGAATAGGAACCCACTGAGAACTGAGAGGGAGAGGAAATCCAGCAAAGCAGACCTGAAAATCCACAGACGAGGTAGCTTCAGGCTAAGATAAGGACTTCAGGGAGCCTTGGGGGAGGGGGTCCTGGTTGCACCAAGTATCCCCTTATGGGAACACCGCAACCCAGACGGCCTCCAAACCTCAGATCCATCACTCCCTGAAGCTCAGAGCGAGGGACTGCAGCAGACTGCACCCCCAGAAGCCCTGCTCTGCGCCAGGACGCCCGGGTCCCCTCTCCGGGAATGGAGCCTCCCTCCTGTCCGTCGAACGGCACGTCAGCCCTGTTCCAGCTATTCCATCCCCTTCCAACAGCCCCTCGGGTTTAGCTAATCAAAATCTGGCCCCAGGCCGCGGATCATCCCAATCCCGGGTCCCCAATCTGCCTCGGAGCGCGGCGCATTCCAGAACCTCGGACAGCGCCTAGCGCATTCCAATGGAGCAAGCCTCCGGGCTACCTCCCGCATCTGCAGTCGGGGTCAGTATCAGGCTCTTCTCTCCAGGAGGCGTCCCCCCACCCCCGCTCCGCCTCTAACCCCGAAGCTGTCCTCCTCCTCGCCGCCCCCTCCCCCGCCGCCCCCGGACCACTGCTTACCCGGGTTGGCTCCCCCATCGCCGTCCTCGCAGTCCGTCAGGTTGTTGAGCATGGTGGCTGCGCAGCTCTAGCCCTGGGATGGCTGCACCGTTTCGCCCGCGCCCCTCTGCCCGCCTTTGGCGCTCGCTGCTCGAGCTCTCTCGCTCGCTCTCCGCTCCACGGAGGAAGAAGCTGCAGTGCCCGCCCGCCCGGCGCACACACACTCGCACACGGACACACGCTCACACCCGCGCGCGCCCCCTCTCAGCAGCGGCGCTGCTCACCTCATCCCGTATGCAGGAGGCGTGAGCCACTGGCGGGTTTTGGGGGGGAGCAGGAGGAAGGAGAGGGGATGAGGGGCGGACAGAGAGCTCCAGTGGCCCCCTCGCGGGAAAACTGGGGGCTTGCGCGGGTGGGATGAGGGGGTGCTGCGGGGGACGCAGCCCTTGCTTCCTAGAGCAGAAGCAGCCTCCCCCCACTCTCCAGCGCAGGCGGGGCCCGGCACGTGGGCAGGTGCCATCCCGCGCCCTAAAAATAACGGCAGGGAACTAGGTCGCGGCCGCGGGGAGGCGGCCCCGCAGCGGCTCCCTGACTGGGGGTCCGAGTTGACCCCTGGAGGGAACATGTGGGAAACCGAGGTGGCAGGGGAGGGCGCTGTGGAATGTAAGGGCCCCAGGGAACCTGTCTACAAAACTGGTGAGGCAAGAAGGCCTGGAAGGAAAACCAGACCCATTCCCAGATCTCTGTCCTAGAGGTTGGAGCTGAAGGAAGAGGTACTGTGCTGTCCCAGGGGCCTCAGGTCAATGGTCTATCTGTCCCATTCTGTTTTTAAACCGGTGGCTGCCACTAGAGGAGTTGTAGTGAACTCTCTCACGATGCTCAGGCTGGTTGGAGTCTCAGCATCCTACCCTAAGACAAATCCCTGGAGTCCACACCACAGACAGGGGCTTTCTGAAGTAGAATGATCTATGGGTGAAATGCAGTGAGGAGCAAGCAGCAGAGAGGTCTCTTTCCACCTGAGATGGTGCAGCCTCTAGGGAGGGTAGGCTGGCCTCAGGCTGGCCAGGAACAGGGTGGGGGGGAGGGGAGAATGAGGCCGCCTGCCGGTCGGGGACCAGATTTTCTACTGGGGCGGGTGTGTTTAATCCCCTAATCCAGGATTGCTTTCTGAGGCTTTCCAGACCTGACATGCTCTCCTGTTCTCCTCCTCCCCGCCAGACCCTGCCCCAGAAGCTCGATTACCCTCAGACCCCTGAGCAACCCTAGAGTCCAGACTTGAGCCAATGGTGGAGACGCTGCAGAAAGCGACATCTGAGATTTAGACCCTTTGCATCTGGGAGATCTAAACATACCATCAGGGTACAGGAAATAGCTTCACAGTCACACTGGTTCCTGACTCGAGTCCTCAAAATCCCAGGGCAGAAGAACTTACCTAATGCACATCTTACCTTTCATAGATGAAAAAAAACTAAGCACCCAAGACAGAAAATGACTGCCCATAAACACAAAGCCAATGAATGGCAGAATTGAGTCTAGAACCCATTTCTATTTACTCCAACTTAGGTCATTCCTCAATAGAACCTCTTTTAAATTGATCTTGCCTCCAGTGAAAGAGACAAGAATACAATCATATCTGCGCTGCTCAGCTGCCTCTGATTTTCTGCTCCAAAAATAAATAAAAGAAAGAAAGAAAAATTAACAGGGGTTGAGTTTCGGATGGGCTCTCCCTCTTTTATGTCCAGGTTTCAAAGATGAGAGGCCTCTTGGATGGAGCCGAAGGCCTCCTGTATCTGTAGAGATAGCTTACAGTGCTGGCATTTTCAGGACCTTGGACAGAGTCAACTGCCATGCTGGCACTGTAGAATGCACCAATGGTTTCAGACGAGACCAACTGTGGAGTCTTCCACGGCGGACTCAAAGGATGCTTCTGAGGAATTCACCAACAACAAGGTGCTTTCACCGCTTGGTTTTGTAAACACCCAGCTAATCTGTTAGGATGGAGAGTTAACCATTCAGACAAGATGTGAGCACTTGGGAGATGTGTGATGGCTCACTGATAAAGGCACTTACAACCAAACCTGACAACCTGAGTTCAACGCTTGGGACCCAAATGGCTGAAGAAGAGAACTGACACTTGCAAGTTGTCCTCTGTCCACACATTTTGCACACATACAGAATAACACTATAATATTTTTAAGAAGGTATGAGTATTTGGTACCCTTGGTTGTCCCAGAGTCAGTCACACACACACACACACACACACACACACACACACCACACTACTAGCATACTACAGTCTATCCTGTATTACTCTGTAGAAATGTGTAAAGGGGTAAAGCATGAAGTGTGCTTGTCAGGTGTTTTCCAGCAATCTCCAGTCTGGGATGTCCCCCTAGGGGCATACTTCTTCATCTATGGCCTGGTGCTATTGCATTTCTGATCTTCCAGGGAGTAAACCTGTCTATAAAGACATAAGGATCTCCAGAAAATAGGTGACGGCCAGAGTGACTGCCCTTTCCTACTGCCTCATTGTCAATCCTCACTAGAGCTCTGACCTGGAGAGCCACCTGGGATGTGGGAAACACTAACTCCACCCTACCCTCTGTTGCAGAATTCTACTTATTCCCTCTCTCTGGACTTCAGCATCAGCATCTGTAAGTGAAGAGTAATCTGTCTTCTGTGAGTCTTGGATTAAGACCATGGAGCTCTTCCTGAGGAGGCCTTGGGATATAGCTCTGTTTGAGAGAGCTTGCCTAGCATGCACAAGGCCCTAAGTTTGATCCCCAACACCACAAAGGATTTGGGGGTGGGGTGGGAGGAAGCCACCTATCTGGCTGATTGTAGCAGTGCTTACCTATCAGGAAACTGAGGCAGAATTCTCATGACAAGTTTGAGGCAAGCCTGGTCTACATATGAGTGCCAAGCCAGACAGGGCAAAGTAAGGAAGGGAAAAAACATTGTTCCCAGGGGGTCCAGACCAAGCAAGGGCAGAATCCCAAAGGGAAACCCCAAGCCCTTCAACTGACACCATCCAAGGAAGCTGGGACCTGTTCCTTGCCTTCCTGGTGAGACTTTCAGAAAACTCATTGCAAGCACCTCCTACATGACCAGCCTGGCCTTGGCCAATAAGAGGTGGCCTTCAGTTCTGAGGCCCAAGAACCAGACCGCCCACTCAGCATACCCTCCCCATGCAGAGGACCAGAGCCCTGGGAAGATGGGACAGCGGAGGAAAGCCCCTGGATAGAGCAACCTAAGAGACAGCAAGCAGGCTCCTATTTTTGAACTCAGAGTCTCCAAAATTCATCCCCCACCTTGTGCTTCTCAGAGAGGAGCTCAGTGGAGCTGCCTCCCACCACATGAGGACTGGGATGCAAGAAAGGACTTTATAAATTATTTTTCCACTTACCACTTATGATGAAATTGGAGTCTAGAAATGGAAATGGAATGGGAGGCATTTTCCTCGTGGGCTGAATTTACAAGTGGAGACCAGAACCCAGCATCCCAAGCTCTAGGCAGGCCTTCTCCACCAGGCCAGGAGAAGGGCTGTCCGGGGGAAGCTGGAAGACCCAGCTGTACCCAATCCTTATCACCAAGCATCACTGCCATGACCCACCCATCTCCTGTCATGGACCTAAGACCCCAAGGCCTCTCCTTCACCCCTCCTCCTGCTCCCTGCATGCCCTATCCTCCAGACCCAAATCCTAGCAGTCAGTTGATGAGTCCAGCGCATAACACACCCCACACATATAGGGCTCGAAGCAGAGCACGTCAACCACCACCGTCTCCATGGCAACCAGGGGCTTAATTAACAGGCTGCAGCCCCGTCACCATGGCAACAGCACCCCAACAGCCCCCTATTCCCCTGCAGACTCAGCCTATCTTCCCTATTTTCCAATCTGGGACTTCTTCTCATGTATCTCAACCCCACCGTCACCCTGCCTGGGAAGCTGGGCCTCCAGACAGCTCTGGTTCATTGAGAAGAGAGGAGGAAAGGGGGGGGGGTGAGAAAGAGAGAGGAAGGGAGGGGAGGGGAGGAGGGAGGAGGGAGAGAGAGAGAGAGAGAGAGAGAGAGAGAGAGAGAGAGAGAGAGAGAGAGCTGTCACCATGGCAACTGCAGCCCTGTTCATAACCAGTTTGTTGTCATGGAGATTCCTAGGGCTCACCTTGGGCTGAGGTGGGCAGTGAGGTTCTGAGTCTTGACTGAAGGTGGAGAAAACAATTGGACAGCACATGTACATGGTCTCCTCTCCCTCTCTCTCCCTCTCATTCTCCCCCCTCTTTCTCACACACACACACACCAATAACACCATCATTCTTCCCAATTTGCAGATATGAAGACTGAAAGGGGAGGTCTGAGTCTGGAGGAGGCCCACTCTTAGAAGTCATCAAAAACTCTTGCCTCATTTTTTGTTGTTTAAAGTTGTTTTGATTTTGAAGAAAAGTCTTTCTTTGTAGCCCAGGCTAGGCTGCCTCAGTCTCCTGGAATTACAAGTATGACTATTGCCATAGACTCATCTTCAGTATTTTAATGGAAGGAAGGACCCGTCCTACTTTATACTACAGACAGGTGAACTGAGGTCCAGGGATGGAAAGTCCAAGGTGACACCACAGAGCTTGTGGCCTGTCTTATGGTCTTGCTTCATCTCCTAGCAAAAGTTATCTTTGGTTGTTTGTTTTTCAAGACAGGGTTTCTCTGTGTAGCTTTGTAGACCAGGCTGGCTTGGAACTCAGAGATCCACCTGCTTCTGCCTCCCAAGTGCTGGGATTGAAGGCATGCACCACCACTACCTGGCTGCAAAAGTTATCTTATTATCCCTCCACAAAGGTAAGCCTCAATTTCTGTAAGCCTGGCCAACCCCAGGGTTTCTTTCCACTGTCCAACCTCCGCCTAAAAAGCTGAGGCATGACGTGTGGGTGAAGGATGTGGGCTTGGCTCAGAACTGTAAGAGTTTGTCTACTTCTATCCTGGGAGATCACCATCAACCTTCCTTTCCATGACCAAAAGACACAATTAAGTCATGTGGGGCAGTCCGGGGTTAAGGGTACATCCGAGGCTCAGTTTCTCACTTGCCCTTTCCATCCCTGTAGTCATATAGCAGGAACCCTCCAAGGGGCAAACCCTATAGCCTGGGCCCACAGTAAAACACAATGCTCACATATACATCATTTACCAGTCTCCCCAAGCCCCTCCCAGCCTCACGCACGCTGCCACCCCTCCCTCTGGGCCTGGGGACAAGAGGTGGGGAGAACATCTCTCCGAGCTGCTCACTGACTGACTCCTGTCTGCAGACTGACACAAGGGCAGCTGTGGGAAAGACACCAGATGTTAAGCTCCCCCTGGGAGCGCTGGTCTAATTCCCTACTCAGTGACCTTCAAGGAGGAAGCTCTTGAGGTCATCTAAGGGCTTGAGACAAAGGGGAACTTCGAATGAACTGGATACAAGTGCCCACCCCACAGACAAAACCAGAAATCTATACACCAACATGTTCACCATACACACTGGCAACACAGTGAGTGACACACGTAAACTGACTCACTGGGTATCTGACAGGTCATGGAAGCTGCTGTGGGACATTCGCATGGAGACATGCACACACAGCCTCAGCCACAGCACACAACATTTGATACGCACATTCCTTTTCCACAGACATCAGAACAGTCCAATTCTGGGTCTGTGTGTTAAGAGAGCATGAATGGAAACTCTGAGCAATCGCCTTGGGACATGAGTCCCCGACATCTCCCTCCCAGGCCAAGATCTGAAGAACAGGAGGAGAAAAGGCAAATGGGAGGAGAAGGAGGAGGCTAGAGCCACACGTTCTCATCTGAGGAGCAACGATCACTCACTGTCAGGCTTTGGGTCTAGAACTCAGGACACAAAGATACAAAGACGCGATCTCTGTCTTTGATGTGCTTCGACCAGCATCCATTGGGAATGTGCTCCAGTGGGTAGGATGAAGAGGAATGACTACCTCTTCCTGGGAGCGAGGGGAAGGGAAAAGGATTTCAGAAAAGGTGAAATGAGCTATAACTTAACAGGATGAGTGGGAGTTTTCCTGGCTAATGGAGGTGGGGCAAGGGTTGAACAGGAAGAGGCATACCAGATGCAAATGAGGAAGGAAGTTGAGTGACAGACTAAAGGGTTTGGCGTTTATCCTACAGTGGTGGACATCTTACTTGAGGGATGGTTAGAACCAGCTGGCAGCCGGGAAGCCAGAGAGGATGTGGTCCTGGCTATGTGACCGGGGGATGGTGACAGGTAGGGGAGAGATGTAACAGGGTTCAGGTTCAGTTCTGGAGGTCAGTGGCCAGATCATGAGGAATAATTGGATTTGGTGAGAAGAGGAAAATTGCTGAGTTTCTTGATTCTGAGAGGCTTGGAAGCCGTTTTTTCAAACTGAGAAACAAGAGGAGTTACAGCAAAGATGGAGAGTGAGAAGACCCGAGTGTTCACATCCACGAGGCGGTCGGGTCACCTGAATGGAACCTCCGGAAGTCCAGAACTGGAGTTGTCCATACCTGGAGGAGCTTTCTGAAGGATCCCCCTAAGAACCACGCTTGTGTTAGCTCCAGGCAAGGCGAGTTTACCCGCGGCTCATGAGCGACCCCTAGCGGCCAGGGAAGGCTCTCTCCTCTCGGCCTTGTGGCCACTCCGAGCCTGTTTGCCCCTCTCCTTCCAAACAGGAGGGAGGCAGAGTTAG